AAAAAGCATGTTTTTACAAAAAAGCATGTTTTTACCTGTCACAGGTGTGACATCTATATAATATATGTATATAAAAACATTCGTGTATTTGAATGCAACGTTGTGTCAAAATTTCAAAGCAATCGGTCAAGAACTTTCGGAGATTAGCAATTTTGAACAAACAACCATTTATATATATGGTTGTGTATATATATATGTTTTATATATATATAAAAATATAATTTAGGATGTATAAATGCTGTCAGAAGTATAGTAGATAGTATGTGATCTGTAGTGGGCAATGAATTAATATCAAAAGAATAATGCAAGCAGTGTATGAAGCAATGCATGGACATGATAGAAGCAAGGAGGTTTGCCTGGATAAACAGGTATAGAGAGGTACAATAAAAGTTGCTTGTGTAGCCTGATTTTAATTATTTTTTCTTATGCCTTAATTTATTTGGCTGGTTACCCTGTAATCCTTTTTTGTGCTTTGCAGAAAGTTCCTTGCTCTGAAAGGGAATGGTTGATGTGTATGAATTTATGTACACTATATAAACATTAATTAGTATTTGTGATTTGTTCTGATTTTGTTACCAGGATACTTGCTAAGCTGCAGTTCTGCCTTATACAGATAGACCTCAATTTATGATCTTTCATTCAGCGAATATTCAATATTATAAACAGACTTAGAAATCATGCTTTAAGTTATGACTGTTGCAGTGCTCCTGTACTCATGTGATTACAATTCGGCTGCTTGGCAGCCACACTGTAATTCCTCCCACCCAATTATCTCCCCCCACCCTGCATCTATACAGGCTGCCTGCCTCTGTCTTGCAGGATAGCAAGCAGCCTCACAAACATGTGGCTCTGGGACTACTTTCTATGCCTTGGGAAGGTCAGTCTGTCCCAGCAAGCACCAGCATTCGTATGCTCCCCAGAAAGTGCCAGCGTTGGTTCACTCCCCCACTTGCAATCTCTTCTAGTTCAGTACACCAACCTTTCTTCTTCATGCCCAAATCTCTGACATCTCATCTGATTTCCTTTCAAGACTTAGCTGTGCTGCAAATATTCTATGTGGTCCCTGAGCCTTTTGTTAAGCAGTACTGTATTCATAAAGTTGTGCTAACTTCAGAAAATATTTGAAAGAATGCCAACACTTGCTTTGAACAGCTTGCTTTGGATAGCTGGCTTTGGGCAGCTTTGAAAAATTGTAATGCTTATCTATAGTATTCGGTTAACAAATAGAGAGTGATGGAATTGTGGTTGCTAAGTGAAGGGTTCTTGCTTTATAATTATATCACTTAGAGACTGAAATCCTGATCTCAGTTGTGATCATAAGTCGAGGACTACTTGTAAGGTTTAAGAAAGCATATAAAATGTGTTTGATTAATACATGCTCCTATTTGCTAAAATATGCATTGTTTCCTCTTACAGGTTAAGAGAAGTTTCAGAAAAGCTTAACAAGTACAACTTAAATAGGTGAGGAATCTTTACTGTTTCAATTCTGAATTTGTAAATTTGGTACCTTTAAGCTTATTTTTCTACTCAGCTACCTAATTGCGTGGGCACTGGGGGATGAAGGAGAAGCAGGTGTGTGTACCCATGTGGCTGTATGTTTGTGTTAAACTCTGCATCGGATTCCAGGCTAATTACAACTTGGAAAGCAAAGGTTTGGTTTGATTGGTTTCAATAGATCTAAAAATGTGACATGACCTGTAGCCACTGTATCAAAACCTTTTTTGTTCTGTATATGGATATATAGATATTTGTGATACATTGAATTCCTCTGTAACAAATGAAGACAGATGTTTGTAAAAAAATAAATATGACTAAACACAAGATGATAGTTGACATCTCTTTCTTTAAAAATAGGTATTTTCTTCATCAAGTTCTTCAGCTAAAAATATTTATTGGAAGTTCTTCTAGAAAAGAAAAAGTGAATAATAAAAAAGCAAGACAAAGAAAGCTATCTAAAGAAGCAATCTTCCTTGTGGTTGTTACAATCATAGCAATTACCAACTCCTCTGTCCTAAATTGCATATCATAGTTCCTGTCTTCCAATAAACAAATCTTCTAATCAATAAATCCCAAAACCAGCAGTTCACTTTTATGTATTTTTAGTGAAGAAACTTTTATAGAGAGACACAAGCCACTTTTATTTCATTTCTTAAAGCAAGAGTGTTTCAGTCATGGGATTTTTCTTTTTCTTTTTTTTGTTTTTCAGCCATCCTCCTTTGAATGTTTTGGAACAGGCAACAATTAAACAGTGTGTAGTGGGACCAAATCATGCTGCATTTCTTCTTGAGGTAAATTGCTCACATCAGGCTGAAATTAAAATATCCTGGTTGTAGTTAAATTTAGTTGTCCAAGGTTAGACCAACTTAATAATTGCTAAATGTTAATAATGCAGTTTAAGTATAATGTTTAATAGACACTTTTTTCCTTCAATTTTAGGATGGTAGAGTCTGCAGAATTGGCTTTTTAGTTCAGCCAGACAGATTAGAATTGGGTAAACCTGATAACAATGATGGGTAAGAGCTACTTTTGTTCTGATTTGTAACAAGTATCAAATATTTTAACCTACTTTGTTTTTAAACTTTACTCATTTGGATTGTTAACAGAATTGGAAAAAAATTGGGATAATTTAAAAATATATATTTTGATGTACCTTTCTGATGATTTTATAGATGCTAAAATTAATTCAAACCTATTTGTATATAAATAATAAGAGATGAATCATAAATATTAAAAACAATTTAGATGCCCTAACCAGCATTGACTGCTGAATTGAATAGTTTTAATAGAACTGAATTATTATATTTCATTTGTGATGTTACCACTTCCCAGGATATGTTTTCTGGATTCACATTTTTATCTGAGTTTTTAAAAGGATATAGGAGTATGACATTAATTCAAGACTGGGATTAAAAGCAGGAGTTTGAAATTTTATTATGTTAATTCATAGTCTAACACATAGTAATTCATTTGAAGACATACACAATAGTTTCACCATGAGAGTTAATACTACTTTTGCAATAAAACATTTTCTAATCAAAGAACTGTATTGGCATGCTTGGCATGCTTTTCCTTGGTCCCTGTTAGATTGTCATATCCTTTAGCTAAGTTTGGAAGGTTCCCCAAGGGTGTTGCTTAAGCTGGTGTGTTACCAGACTAAGTCCCTGAGAAATTAAACCTGGGATTCCAGGGCTTGTTTTTAACCCATTTGGGATTGTATTGTGACTGATCTACCATCTTTTACTTTCAGTTCAAAGTTGAGCAGTGGCTCAGGGGCAGGAAGGACATCCAGGCCAGGCAGGACTAGTGATTCCCCATGGTTTCTGTCTGGTTCTGAAACTCTGGGCAGACTGGCAGGCAACACCCTTGGGTAAGTTTTGATAGGGTTGAGGTTGCAACCTGTTTGTATACCATGGTTATAAAAGGTTACCTTGGTTATGTGTGACTATGCATAACATCATCTCCACATGTATGAAGATCATTCCAATGCAGTGGTGGCAGGTAGTTTTCTTTAAATGCTATTAAGAAAGATTTTATATTTTATATTTCATCCATTAAATCCATTTTGAAGAAATATTTAATCTACAGGTAGTCCTTGACTTAAAACCATTTGTTTAAACACCTTTCAAAGTTATAATGGCACTGAAAACAGTGACTTACAATTGAGCCTCAAACTTATGACCGTTGCAGCATCCCCACGGTAACATGATCAAAATTCACACGCTTGGCAACCAGCATGTATTTATGATGATTGCAGAGTCCTAGGGTCATGTGACGCACCATTTGCAACCTTTTCAGTTTTGACAAGAAAAGTCAATGGGGGAAAATGGATTCATTTAACCTCTGTGTTATTTGCTGCAGTAATTCACTCAACAACCGTGGCAAAAAAAGCTTAGACAATCGAGCACGACTTACATAACCACAGCCTTACTTAACAACAGAAATTCTGGTTCCAATTATAGACATAATTTGCGGGCTACCTGTACTTTAATTTTCAGATTAGACTACTGCTATTATAGGTAGTTTAGATTTTTTTTCTTCAATAGCGTATTTTAGATAAATATATGTCCTGCATATTTTTCTATGCAATACAGTATTAAAATACACTTGGAAAGCTTTTTAGGAGAAATAAAAGAATATTTCAAATATTTCAATATTTGTGTTCTAATTTATTGTTGCTTTTTTTCTTGACTAAAGCTAGCATGATTTATAAATGATTCATGATAACATTTCTAGTTAGAATTGTAATTAGAATCATTTGAAACACTTATGTTTAACTTCTGTTGTGTTGTTCTAGAATAGATCACTCAGTTTTAAAGAGTGATTATGAACAGCTGCTAGTATAGATTGATGTTGCATGTTTTCTGCTAGTAAAACAATTTAAAATGAATCTTGGCTAACTTCAATGGTTCCCCCCCCCCCGATTTTTACTCATACACATTTTAAAACAATCATTGATTTTTTAGACGGAAAAAAAAAGAATATTCCTGAGATAACGTGAGATTTCTTAATATCTATTCCTAGAAAAATACTTAAGGTGGTAAAAGTTTAAGCATATGTTATATTTAAGGTAATTGTTTTTAAATTATTTGTAGATTGATATTTGGATTGTGAAAATCAGTGTCACACCTGCATGTCTAATGGATGGATGGATAGATGTTGTATAATGATACTTTGAACGAATTACAGAACTGGTTGGAGCAAAGAATATTCCCTTCTAAAGGGAGCCCTCGGTGCTCATATAGTGGATAGCAAAGGAAAATGAATGTGTTGCAGTGTTTCTAATCTTTTCCAAACTGCAGAATTAACATGAATTAACGGACTGTCTCATGGAGAGGGAACAGTTCAGTTCAAATACATGATAACTTTAAAAAATAATTCAGAAACATTGATCCTTTACTTTTAATTTTTTTTCAGAAGTCGATGGAGCTCTGGTGTGGGAGGAAGTGGGGGAGGATCATCTGGTAGATCATCAGCTGGAGCTAGAGATTCACGAAGGCAAACACGAGTTATTCGAACTGGACGTGACAGAGGGTCTGGTCTACTGGGTAGTCAACCACAACCGGTGATTCCAGCATCTGTTATCCCAGAAGAACTCATTTCACAGGTATGAATGTCTTTTAGGATGAATTATTTAAAATTCCAATGCAAAAGAATTTGGTTGTGTCAGTGAATAGTTTTTATACTTCTTCCATTATGAGGGGGGGGAGGGAGGGAGGGAGAGATCAAAAGGCACAGTTCACTTGCATTTTCTGTTGCACAATTTTAATTGCACTAAGGATTGCATTTTTAATCTATTTGTAGCATTCAGTTTAATTTCTCGGTCATATTTTATTTTTGTAAATTGGAATTGTCTTGAGAATCATTTATTCAGCTTAATGTGTGCATGCATTCTGTTTTGCATAGGCACAAGTTGTTTTACAAGGAAAATCTAGAAGTGTAATTATCAGAGAGCTTCAACGGACAAATCTTGATGTTAATCTTGCGGTGAACAACTTGTTGAGTCGTGATGATGAGGATGGTGATGATGGTGATGATACAGCAAGTGAATCCTACCTTCCAGGAGGTTTGTGTGGGGAATGTTTTCTTATTCCTTCTTTAAAAAAAGCCATTTTAAGCTCTTATAAGAGTTGTGTAGGTATTCTGCAATATTTATAAATAATTAACATTCTCTTCTAAAAAATATTGGTGTTTTGGAAGAAAGAACAAAAAGAATAGGTAAGGCAAAATCAGGCCAGCTTTTTATTACTTTTACTATTGGAATGAATATGTCAAATATGAGGGTTAAAAGGAACCTTAGGAATCGTATAATCCAAAATACTGCCTAGTGCAGGAAGGCGCCACACAGAATCATGAAATGTAAGGGACTCTGGAGGTTATCTGTATTATTGTTCAATTTGAAATTCTGTGTTATAAGAATATACATATTTTGAGCAACTTAATTGATACAGTTACAGTATACTTTGGGAGGTTTCTATTAAACAATTCATACTGAAGCAAGTTTCTAATATTTACAAATAAAAAAGTCAAGAAAGAGTAACTTGGTCCAAAAGCATGTAACTATTGCATAGATTAATGTTTGGGAGTAAGGCAGCATTGAGATGTAATAAATAAACCTACAATTAGTGTTTGTTTTTGTGCCACAGCTTACTTAGAAATAAATACTTTAATAAAGCACACTGCACGCAAAAATAATTCTTTATATCCTGTTTATTTCTTCGCAATTACTTTCTAAAGCAGACTTCTATTAAAATAGAAATTGCGGTTTAAATATTGTGTTTTTGGAAACGATGGAATAGTAGTTCTGAAGGATAAGAAATGACTGGGGAAGAAATTAATGTGGTTATGATTAGACAAAGGTTTATTTTCTGTGGCATAATATTTAGCCATATAAGGCTAAATAACCATATGAAATTAGCCTTGGGATTCCCATTGATTAAAAAAAAAATACACACCCAAATGTATGAATTACCACTGTGAGGTTTAGAATGTTTTTATTCTACTACTGATTCTACTAACTAGTGGTTTTCTAGTTGATTAATATATAGAGCCGAGGTGGCGCAGTGGTTAGGGTGCAGTACTGCAGGCCACTTTAGCTGACTGTTATCTGCAGTTCAGCGGTTCTAATCTCACCGGCTCAAGGTTGACTCAGCCTTCCATCCTTCCGAGGTGGGTGAAATGAGGACCCAGACTGTGGGGGCGATATGCTGACTCTGTAAACCGCTTAGAGAGGGCTGAAAGCCCTATGAAGCGGTATATAAGTCTAACTGCTATTGCTATTGCTATTTTTCTTGATCAATTATTATATAGGTAGTCCTTAACTCACAATAATTCACTTAGTGACCATTTGAAGTTACAATAGCAGTGAAAAAACTGTTTTTCACACTTACAACTGTTGCAGCATCCCCATGGTCACATAATCAAAATTCAAACGCTTGGCAACTGACTCATATTTATGAAGGTTGCAGTGTCCCAGTGCCATGATCATCTTTTGTATCCTTCTGACAAACAAAATCAGATTCATTTAATGTGTTACTAATTTAAGAACTTTAGTGATTTACTTAACAACTGTGATAAGAAGAGTTGTAAAATGGGGTAAAATTAACTTTAGAACTGTCTTGCTTAGCAACAGAAATTTTGGGGTCAATTGTGTAAGTCAAGGACTACCTTATCATCCATTTCTTACGTTTTCATCCTTACGTTTGTTGAAATGCCCCTTTTCTTAGTTTATTAACATCGTAATAAGAAATTTAGCTTCCAAATTTATTTATTTATAACTTCAGGTAGCATGTAGGATTAAAAAACCAACAATATAAAACCCCAGAACCCCCCCCCCTTTCTCATATTGGTGATAAACACAATCATCAATGCATTCCATAGATGATTATCAGTGCTGCTAATAAGCTAGTTAGTTTGATTTGTATGGTGTCCTGTAGTTCAGCAAGTTGAATGGTAGAACAGATCTGAATTTAAGACAATTTATTATTTTTCATGTTAGAGATAAATAATTTAACGCCTTGGTTGCACATAATTTATTTGTGGAATTTTATATACTACTGGTTTTAAAAAGGAAGTATTAAAAAGCATTTCATAGTTTAATATGCTCACATTGGCAGTGGTGTTTTTCAGTCTGCTTTTGTTCATCTTAATAAAATCAAAGTGATTTTTAAAGTGTCACCTCACATATTCTTCTAAGCCAGGGTAGGGCCCTTTGTGACTTGTTGACTTCAAATCCCATAATTTCTCAACCAGTCATGCTGGCTCAGGAATCATGGGAGTTGAAGTCTACAGGTTGTAAAAAGGCCATAGTTGTCCACTCCTGTTCTAAGCTATAAGTGTGTAAAATTAGAATATTGGAATAAAATCCTTATACAAATATAGCTGGTGTAGTGATAAACACATCCTTGAGTTCCTGGTGATAACGTCTGGAAACTGTGTGGGGAAAGAAGTATCTGTGCCTCGTTAGTCAGGGATAGCACGACATGGCAGCACTGGATTCTGGTTTTGGGAGAAGCCAGAGAATGAAGCTATTAACAAACTAAAATCAGCCCATATCTTCTTTCTGTAATTTTTCTTTGTAGATGAAAACATATACATTTACATATCACACTAAACTTGGTTAAGCTGGTGACAGACAGTTTCTTAGAGACATTCACTCACAGAGGAATCGGCAGCTAAGTCAGCCTAACTGACAAGATGTCAGTGAAAATGATGATGATTAAATTTATACCCTACTTTTCTGCTTAATATATAACACTTTATAGTAGTAAAACAAAATATGACATTTAAAATGGAGTATTACGATAAGTACAGTGAGAACGAGTATTTTTGTAGTTTAAAAGCTTTCCAGTTATAAGAGAATTGCCAAAGCTGTGTCAATGTCAGAAAATATTTGTATGAAAAAAAATCTATAAAGCTATATGAGATAAATTGCTCATTTAAAAGCAGATGTTAAAAGCCTTGCTGGTTGATTGCTAAGGTTCTCCTGGTTCTCATAAGCATTTCTACAGTTCTGCTTCATGGTTATTGCAAGCTGTAATTTTGTTTCGCTTATACAAAACTTTTGAATTCTGACTGCAGTATTTAGTAGCAAATGTGTATGACATCTGAGGCAAAGTAGTAATTTAAGAAAAAAAACTTTGGAGTAGCTATTTTATTATCATTTAAAAGCCCATTTAAATTCTAAGGCAGTAGTTATTTGATTGTTAAATGCTTGTGTTTGACTCCCTCTTGAGGATCAAATTTATGGGCAATTTATAGTCTAATCTATCATTAGTCTTATACAGTATTATAATTCTGTTCCTGCTGAATTGACCAATTTTCTTTTCCAGAACATTTTATACTTACAATCAATACTACAGTATAGCTGTATTTGTTACCAAACGGCTTTCAAAATCATACCACTTTAACAATTTTACTGGAGAGATATTAAAATGATTTTCACTTAAATAGAAAGTTAAATAATGCATAAGGCAGAGTTAATATTATCCTATAGTACTTTTTATTTAGTTTTCACTAAGTAGAATTCGTTATTCTACTTAGTATGTTTTCAGTATGTTTTATTAGATTTAGAATTGCTCCTAGTTACAAATTTGGAAGAGAACATTACTTATCTGAGTCCCTTTGCTAGTGACTCCCTTCAGCCTAAATGTAATCAAAATCAAGGAATTGCCAAGGAGAAAATCATATCTCCACCAATATTGCTAGGACAACTACTGTATGTAAACAGTAGGGAGCAATCTCCATACTCACTAACACTGATGATGTTGCCTAGTCAGGTAATGAAGCTCAGAGAATACCAAGAACTCCACAGCTACATATTTCTCTTCTATTGAAATGGGAAAATGATCTGGATTCTTAACAATCCTGTATTTGAAAGGTAGATATATACCTATTGTAAGAAAAACTTTAAATTTGGGATGAATGTAAAGAAAGAATACAGTATATGTCTTATTCAGGTTCTTGGTAAGAGTCCAAGTTGCCAACTGTTCAAGGAAATTGTATAAGAATACATACTTCTTAAAATTTTATAAGAATATAGGATCACTAATTAGTTCTCAACAAAAATTTGTACAACCTTTTTATAGAGTGAAATGTCTTGCCCAGATATGTAAGATTACAAAGGAAGGTTGGTTTTATTTGTTAAATTGTAATAAACATTGTTAGATTATAATGAATTAATATATATTATATGAACGGTAGTCTAGTTTTTATTAGAGTGAATAATATGAATTCCATTTGCATATTTAAAAGACATATGCTAATTACCTTCTTAATAGCTCTGGGCACAAAGACACAGTAAATATATACATTGCATTATATTAAAAATAAAATATAGAAATGTCTAACTACATTTTAAACACCACCCTAAAATGTAATAATGGGGGGATGTACTGTTGTCTGATTGTCAGTTCTATAATATGGATCTGCAGTGGGCAAAACAAATTGATTTGAATTTTCAACTGTGTGTGGTGGGGTTGATATCTTTAATGGAATATCTAACAGATAGAAGAGCAAGACAGTTAAGGGAAGAAACAAGGCCATTAGAGAAAAGGAATGGGGAAGTGTGAAAAAGAGACTAGGAGTAACTTTGCCTTAATTATACTATGTATAAATTGTATGAGAGAATGCCTATTTCCAAAGGGCCATGTATGCATTCTTTGGTCATGTCACACTCCACAAGACTGACAAGGTCAGGAAAAAAGTACCATGTGGAATTTTGAACTAATTGTAAGGCTAGTAGACTAACATAAACGAAAATTTGAAAACTAAACAATGTTATTCTAGGCTGTGTACCCCAAAGCAGTTAGCAAATAGTAAAGCAGTTTCAGTCTTAACAGTAATGTGGAAACATAAACAGATAGCCTTTACCATATTTGGTTCTATATTCCAGTCTAGCTGAAATTTCTGCATCACCCCAAGAATTCTACTTAGAGTGTACTATAATCTTGCTTTAAGCTTATCATCCCACAAATAACCAAATCTAGGTTTTCTTCTTCAGGATTTATCAGCTGAATTTAATGAGAAACCTAATTGCCATAGTTGTTACATGGCTGTCTATCATCTGAGCTGGATTTAAAAGCACCCCTGGGCTGAAAATGTGTTACTTAAGGAGGAATATAGGCCTGTGAAAGAACACAATCTTGATCCTGAATCCAGCATACAGAATCAATGTAACACCATCTTGTCAGAGTTACCACCTTATTCTGCTACACTATATCCAGTGCTTTACAGCCTGGAGATCCACAACAGCTCTGAAGATGTTTAGCACTGAGTTCATAAAAAAGGAACATTATGATTATATGCATTATAATTATAATTTATCCACATTATTAACAGTATTGAGGGCAAACATTTGGTGAGTTGCCTTTCTGTATGCATGTAAAAGCAAAATCTCCAACTCACATTTGTGACTGCGTAGAAATGATCATATAATTGTCTTGGCAACAACACAGAGTGATTTGTTATTGCTGCCTTCTACGATTTTTCTGCCCCAACTTCTTAGTCTAGCTTGCAACTCTGATATTTCAAGGTACCCACTCATTTAGCTAACTAAATCTGATCCTGCTTAGCAGTTAAGATGATAGAGTTACTGTATTGCTGTAGTATTTTGCTTTGCAGTTTCAAAATGAATATATCACTCTGAGCATGAATGTATAAGAAAAGTAATAGCTGTGAAATACGATGTTCTAAGATGATCCACTGAGCATTTTAAATAGTTACTGGAAAGCAAGTACCAATACTTCTTTGGAGGGTTAGTATGAAGGGGGATTGAATTATATATTATTCGGTATTCCAATGAGAAGCTTAAATTAGGAAGAAAGGAACTAAGGTGCTGGAAATTATCCAATTTTTTTCAATTAGTTAATGTGTGGGAAATTTTTTGAATTAAATGCTAATGGTTAGAGCTTCTTCTTTTGTGAAACTTCACATACCTCTAACCTGTTTTTTTAAAAAGTAATTGATTTTTTTCATTAATAAGATGTGGAAAAGTAGCTAAGATGCATTTAAAAGCAAATCTTCCTGCTCTTGGTTGCTAATTGTAGTTTGTAATTCAGAAACACAATACATTTCCTATAGGATACCATAGGTGGAGAAGTGGAAAGTTATTGAGGTACTGCTCCATTGTGGTGTAATTCTTGGATGGACGCTGAAAGGATTGCATAAACCAGTGTTTTCTTAAAATAGGGCAATAGGACATGGTTTCTGGGAAGAAATACAGTAATGATGGACATGGGAAAATAGAAAATATAAATATTTATATTGAATATTGATCTGTAAAAATCAAGGTCAGGTTATTTGAATTGAATTATGATAATACTGGGATTATTTGTATCAGGAATCAGACAGATACTACTTGACAGCTAAGAATTCAGTTATCTTATGGTAGAAAAGAAATGGAAAATAAAAGAATTGCACATGACATCATAGTGAGGTCATGAAATTAAAGCGACAGGTGAGTAAGGATAATATAGTGTCTGTTGTGGCTGGATTATGTGTGGCAAATTGTTGGTTAGGAGTCTATTAAAATGCAAGGTGTTGAATTTATAAAGCTTGAGATTTTTCTGGATAAACTTAACTGCACCTGCTGACAGTTTAGGCATCATTTCTTACCCTGCTGGGAATTAAATTTAATAGAAAAGTGGCAGAAAAAAAGCTATAAATGGGAGAGCCTTTGTTTGTTCTATCAACAGCTGAGATTTTATGCCAAGATTGTGATTCAAAAGTGAGACACTCCTGCCCTATCAACGCTTCAGTTAACTTGATACCATAAACATAGTCTCATAAAATATTTTCTTCAGAAGATATGTGTATGTATTTTTGCATAGTCATCTGTAGACTCCATTAAAATGACATTTTTCAGTTTAGGTAACAATTGTCTTAGTTTCAGATAAAATTAGAGGTTCGTTCTTCCTTTTTTCTTTTCTTTTGAAGGAAGCATTTCACATGCTGTTTTTTGGAACGATTTAGTCTCTTTATATTGCTTAACTGTTCATAGCTTTGTCTAACATTTGAGTTCTTAGGATGAGGTTAGACTTAATGGCTTGAAGCAGCAAGCAAGCAGTTGATAGACAGTAGATAACATTGGATTAGCATTCTAGGATATTTTGTTTGATTGAAATGTGAGCAGTAGGAAAATATTTATATGTTAGGGAATTGGAAGAAAAGATCAGTTTTGTTGGTAGATTTGTCTTGTTTGGTGATGGTCTTTCTAGATTATTTTCAAGTAGCTGATAATTTACCTCAGATCCTTGTCTCCTCTTATAGAGGATCTTATGTCTCTTCTGGATGCTGACATACATTCTGCTCACCCAAGTGTCATTATTGATGCTGATGCTATGTTTTCAGAAGATATTAGTTACTTTGGTTATCCATCCTTTCGGCGCTCATCACTTTCCAGGCTAAGCTCGTCCCGAGGTAATTTTGCACCTTTTTTTCTTTGTAAATAAGTAGTATTGCTGTGCAGTACTAGTTATAGCACATGCTGGTGATTTCTGTCTTAGATTTGTGTGTGCAATTTCTATTCTAAATATAGACAATTAAAAACTTTCTTCTAAATTGTAACATTTCAAAAATATTCTAGTAAGTTACAAAATAAATACTAGTACTATGTTTGAAATGTCTTGACAGATGAAATGTACATGAGGCTTTTAAAATTGTCTGCCCGAAGCCAGTTTTTTTTAAAAAACAAAGACTTATGGAGGATTGGCCTAAAAACCTATTCTCTTCTGAAACATCCCAGAAGATCACTTGTTTACTTTAGAATAAGTTAAAATTAGTTGATACATAGGGAATTTTCTGCCTTCTCTGATATGGAGGCATAATTTTATAGCAAATCTAGAAAACCTACCTGTGCTCAGATGGGTAGCAGTGAAAGTTATGTATCACTCAGATAGTTAATAATTTCTTTGCAAAATATAGTATCAGTGACACTTTAAAATATATTAAGCCTAGTAATTATTATTTTTTGCATATAGATTTAGAAATAGCAGCTACAAAATATTTTGCGTAAAACCAAATTATAAGTAAGATTTGAAAATGTATGAAATCCAATACTGGATCTGGTGCTTCCTTCAAAAGAACTAGTACTTTGTCCAGAGCATTTTATCAGTTGTTAATCCAACCTCTTCTACAAATCATTCTTGAATTTCATTCTACCCATTTAATATTTTTCTTAGTATTCACATGCATAAATATTTAGTGCATTGTGTTCAGTTAGTTAAAAATTTATTATGGTTGTGAATATAAGGTGATTTTCCAAATTATCATATATCATATATGGCTTCATTGTGCTATTTATGAAGCTTCTAAGATGGTAGACATCTTAAAATCTGTTTACTTGGTTTTAATTCCCATAAAATCTAGCCAGTAGGGCAAAATGTCAGAAATTATGAAAATCACAGTTGAAGGGAAATGGGTTGCTTACTCATGCCAGTGAAGATTAAAACCAAAGGCCTTATCTATATATGTATAGGTCTTGGGGACAATCTTAGAATTATATACATGCCACTACCTCTTTTTAATGCACATATTCCTAACCCTCCTCATTATGGTCTCATTAGACGTCAACTAAACCATGAGGTCAGGTTAAGGGGGGGGGGATTATCAAAACATTAGTAATAGAGAAGTTATGAGAGCTAGATGGATATTCATTTTTAAACCAATTGTTGAAGGAAGTGGAGAATAAGATGACAGTGATAGAAGACAGAGCAAAGAAGTAAGGCAAAAGAAAAGAGGCATGTTTTGATTAAGAATGGTATTAAATAAGGAGTAATATAGTTTAAATGCATTATGTGCATGTATAAAATATCCATCCTCTGATTTTTCTTAAATCCCTTCCCTTTTCCTTTCTAAGGTTATTTCTATGTTAAGATGAAAAATCCTTATTTTCCATGTATATATTCTCTTGGATATTTAGTTTGATTACCTGACTTAACATTTTAATTGTATGAGAGAACTGGCGTACTGGCTTTAGACAATTTGTAGGCCAATTGAAGGGAAAGCATTTTGGTAAGGAACTTTTTCCTTAAAAAAATCTTTCTAGAACTTTTCTGATTTCAAAATTTTCCTTTAATCAACTTTACTCTTGAACTTTAAAAAAAATCACATCAAGTGCTATATATTTTGTTTAAAGGGTTGGATTAGCAAATTTACAACACTGTAGGATTGTGTGTTAACTTTTTCAAGTGGTGGTGGGGGAACTGCTGAGACTCTCTAATAAACACTCCTTTTTTGCTAGATTAAAAGTCTCTTCAAATTCTTGTTAGTTGAAATTAGGTTTTGTTTTGTTTGTACCGTTTGATACATCACCCATAATATACTCTTTGCATATGATACTACAAATTTTGAAAAACACTTTTTATCTTGTTCTATATATCCAATGATATAATTTAAAAAAAAACGAATTCATTTTGAGTAGCTTGAAGCTTCCTCGGCCTGAAATAAATTTTGAGTATCATTCTTACATTTGGAATGATTTTGGCAGTAATAGTACATATGCTTTAAAGGGTTAATATTTTGAGTGCTGCATGCCTTTTTGATGTTTATATTTCATAATAGATTGTAATTGCTGTTAGTTGCATCCTGAAGGGTCTTTACTAGAGAGTGGCTTACTTTTATCCCACTGGTGTGACCCAATTGCATACCAGTTCTCCTTCTTCCCTTAGAGAGAGACTCTGAGCTGTTGCGTGAACGTGAGTCCGTTTTACGTTTGCGTGAACGAAGGTGGCTTGATGGAGCCTCATTTGATAATGAAAGAGGCTCTACAAGCAAAGAAGGAGAGCCAAACCTTGACAAGAAGAATACACCTGTCCAAAGCCCAGTCTCATTAGGAGAAGATTTGCAGTGGTGGCCAGATAAGGTACTGATATATTTTTTTACATTAATATATAAGATGTATAATCTATATATTTACATTTCTTCTCTTTCCAACGGTCTGAAAATACATTGTTTGTTTGTGTTACTTCTATGTGGTTGGCTTTGCTGAATATTTAATTAATGGTCTATACATACATACATACTTTAAATATTGACTTTAATGACAGGACAATTCACATACAGATAGTCCTCAATTTAAAACCATGGCTTAACAGCCATTTTAAGTTCCAACTGCCACAGAAAGGGTGCATTATAGCCTATAAAGTACTTCCAACAATCGTAACCCCCCTCCCCCCCGGTCAGGTGATCACAGTCTGCTGCTTTGCAACCTGTTTGCGCTTACAACTAGATATCAAGCACCAGTGTTCATATATGTAAACACCATGTGTAATCTTCTCTGTCACCGGCCCCAGAAAACCAGCAGGGAAGATTGCAAACTACCATGGAGTTGAGATTCTCTCCCCACTTTTTGAGAGTGAAAGGGCTGTTAGCAGGGAAAAGATCTCAACTCTGTGGAGCTGAGATCCACAGGTAGCCCTTCTAGAGAGAAAGAGCTGCCTGCCAAGGTGGGGAGAATTCCTACAAAGGGCTGCAGAAATGGAGGTCAGATTTGAAAGATCTGAGCTCCATTTCCCAGCAGAGCAGTTTTCTTCTATGCATGGAGAAGAGATGAATTCCTCCAGTAGGGTCCAGAAACAGAGCTTAGACTCAGAATGAAAAGGCCACATGCAGCTCCAGAGCCCCGGGTTGCCGACCCCTGGGCTAGACCATTAATTTTGGCATCTGGTATACTATGTCTTCTGGGAAACTTAACTAATTATCTCTCTTAACAATTTTTCAGTTTTTCTATATGTCTTTTTTCTTTGGCAGCATGGGATTGTTTTTCGCTGAGACTTGAAAGCAAAGACAAAAATCCTTTGTCTTCGTTTTACCTTTCATCATTTTTATTTACCTAATGTAAATTAACCTTCTCAGGAAGGTGGCAATTTGGTAAAATTGTATTAAATAGTAATTAATGAGATTTATAAACTTCCTCAGTCCACTCTGATATGGATGGTGCATATGAGCAATCAATTGACTAAATAAAAAGCTGTGCAGAAAAGTCTTTCTTGATTTTACAAAGTATCATTTTTATCAGTCAGCTTCAGTCTTTGCAGATAAACAATATTTTATTTATTCAGGTACACATTTCTTGGTATTCCTGTGTGATAACATCAAGGTGTACATTAAATATATAATTATTACAATGTTGAACATTTAAACTTATCTGATTTTGTAGGATGGAATGAAATTTATTTCTATTGGTGCTCTGTATTCTGAATTGGTCGCAGTGAGCAGTAAAGGGGAGCTCTATCAGTGGAAGTGGAGTGAATCTGAACCATATAGAAACACACAGGTACATACAATTATATTTGTTTATTTGATTGATTCATTATTTGCCATCAAGTTAGTATTGGCTCGTGGGGATCACGTAGATCAGGGGTGTCAAACCCGTGGCCCATGGGCCGGATGAGTCAGGTAATGGCCCCGCCCCCACCCAGTTTAGCGATGTCATGTGACGCCTCCATGATGACATGAGTTTGACACCCCTGACATAGATTTTCTCCATGATAATCTGTCTCAACTTGGTTTTTCAGATGCTGCAGTGGTGTACCGGTTGCCACTGTAATTAATTCCATCCATCTTGCTGTTGATTGAGCTCTTCTTTTCTTTCCCTCCTCTTACCCTTTTCAGCTTTATAGTCTCCAGAAAGTTAGATCCTTATATAAGGTGTCCCTAGTATAATAATTTTAGTCTGGTAATTTGTGCCTTGAGTAATTTGTTCAGTGTTCTGCTCATTTATTTTCTTGGCAAACAATTTTGTTTAATGCTATCAAATATATATTTAATAAAAACTAATGTTCTATGATTACATCAGAATGTGACCAAAATCTAACCAGTGCTGTGCAATCAGTGGAATGATTTGGCATCCAGCATAGTTAGAAGTAGCAGTGATAGCAATGAATTTTTAACAAAAGCTATGCTGCTTGGCCTTTTCTGACTTGTAATGCTCTGTCTTACTTGAATAGAAAAAAATCACTTTAATGGCAAAAAGTGTGCTGCTGTTCTTGAAGATAAAATTGAGATGGGACAAAATCTGCCTTTTAATTGACCCTTGGCAGGAAAGTAATGCCAAGAGTTCATTGATGAGTTCATAACATGCTATCTGATGGTTTTGTTTCCAAAGAATCCATCAATACATCATCCACGTGCAGGATCATTGGGATTGACAAATGAGAAGATAATTCTTCTTTCTGCAAATAGCATTAGAGCAACTGTTGCTACCGAAAACAATAAGGTATTAAACATTTGAGAAAACATTTGAGAAAACTTTCTTTTTCTAGTTTGTATTAGTTTTTTTATCATTCTAGTAGTAATTTTTATAAAATTGCTATTAAATTTCAATTATATTCATTTTTTCACTTTATTGCAACATAGGGTTTTAATTGTTGTCAAATAAGCAAAGCTGTATATTTGGTATAGAAATAATTAAGTAAAAGGAAAACATCTTTAACAAAAAAAGATGGAGCAAAAGCAGTTCTGGAAAGTTAATAAAAAGCACATTGGGCTTTTTCTGCCTTGAATATGGCCCCCAAAACTCTTGCTTCTTAAAATTATTCAAAACAAAATCTTTAATTATTTTTTTTGTGTGTGTGTTAAAATTTCATTTCAAACGTGGTGGTAACAGATTGTTTATGTTGTGTATAAAGATTTGCCAGTAATTATTGGTTAAAATAATATTTTGAAATGAAACTATATGATCACTATTTTTCCCCCTTTCAGGTGGCTACTTGGGTAGATGAAACTTTGAGTTCTGTAGCTTCTAAATTAGAACATACCGCACAGACCTACTCAGAACTTCAAGGAGAACGGATAGTTTCACTGCATTGTTGTGCCCTGTATACATGTGCTCAGTTGGAGAATAATTTATATTGGTGGTAAGTGTATATTTCTATTCAAAGTTTGAAATATACTCATATGTTTGCAAAGAACAAAAATTTTCTGCTGATCAGCTTATTTATTTTTGAAGAGGGTTTTTTTTTGTTGGAAAAATAATAGGTGAATACATGATAAAAAATATGCCAACCTTGTTTGGGTTTAATTTGATTTATTACAATTGTAAGCCTGCCCAATTCAAAGCTACCTACTTTCCCCATTTATTTAATCAAATAGAAGAAAACATAATTTTATTTGCTGTATTCATAAGGATCGTACTGCTTGAGAGTCAGGCTATCTTGAGAAAGAGAGAGAAAGGATGCTTTTGTGATTAAGAGATATTAATTTGAAATACCGGATTTCTGGCTGAATGCTTAAAATGGTATATGATACTACAACGTGTATTTGCTTGATTGAGATTATATTATTCTGCCTTTTAGTCCTTGAATTTAAAAATAAAAAGTTTGTATATATTAATGAAATAAAACATGGTTGTAACAAACAATAAGAAAAGAACAATGCTGCCTTCAGTTTGGGAACCAAAATCTTTCCCCTACAGCAAGTTGCTAATTTTTATTGGTCAAGAAGATGGAATGTTAGGAGTTATAGTCTCAACATATCTAAAAGATAGCAGATTTATTGTGTGAGAGAGAGAAAGAGAGAGAGAGAAGTGCTTGCTTAATTCCATTAAAGATTATAGCAGGTAATAGATCAAACACCAAACATGCTTTAATAATTATTGGGATTTTAATGCAAAAGATGGACATTTGTTTTAAAAAATTTTGAAAACCCAAGACAAGGAACCCCCCAGTATGCTCAACAATGGCTAATAGATTTCTGGAAGTAAATTTGGGCTGTATGTTGCTAACTTTTTCAATAGCTCAGAAGATGGTGGTATCCAAAATGTCCAAATAAACAGCATCATAATCAAACATAATTGCATCTTACATAGACACAGATGGAACAGTGGTCTGCTGAACTGCAAAATGCTGTCAGGTGCTCACTGAGGATCAGACCATCTGCTGCTGATCACAGAAATTTCACATCAATCTAAAAAAGACTAGAAGAAAGAATCACATTCCAGTAAGATAAAACATCAAAAACATTCCTGGAGAGTATGAGGTCATAAACAGATTCAAAGATATTAACTTTGTACAGAGAGAGCCTGAGAAAGGTAGAAATAAATAAAAAATAATTGCAAAAGAGAAAGGCAAAGGGCAGACTAGCTATTAAATCAAGCCATAGAAATAGTTAAGGAAAGAAAACCATGAAAGACAGAGATGATCTTGGGAAAATTAAAGATCTTAATGGAAGCTTTCAGTGGTAGGCAAGAAGAAATATGTACTAACTTGGAGTATAATCAGATAGAAGAAGACTGGGAAAAATAGGTGTCTATTTAAGCAACACAATCATGAGTGCACATTACAGAGTGGTGGATGAAACATGCTGGGGAAAACATTCTATCTTCTTTTTATATATGAAATGTCTAATTTTCTAATCTTGGCCTCCACTGACATTTTCCATAGACTTCAAAGTACATATTCTTAACTCAGTGTGAACTATTAGAACCACAATTTTAGGAACTGCCTGATATTTAATCTTACCTTCTCAAGTCTTAAAACTCTTTTATTGGCTGGATGTATTTGTCTTTTATTGTCTCTTGTTTTAATTTCTTACTCTACTTTATTACAACCATTTCATATTTAACGCTAGTATTTTTCTTCCTAGGGGTGTAGTTCCTTTTAGCCAAAGAAAGAAGATGCTGGAAAAGGCTAGAGCCAAAAATAAAAAGCCCAAGTCTAGTGCTGGTATATCTTCAATGCCAAATATCACTGTTGGTACTCAGGTATGTACATGCTTATTTTTTAAAAAAATGAACAAATCGAACTACAAATGAGTTAAAGAATGTCACAGTATCTGTAAATGGAATTCTTAAGTCAAAGCACCTTGTTTTCTGAACTGATGAAATTTCAGATATCCATAGTATGTACTCTGCCTGGTAAATATATTCTCCTCTTTGTTTTCTCTTTTATCACTAAGCTATAGTTTTAATCACGCTGAGGGTCTTACTGTTAGGAAACTGTGTCCTGGGTATGTTGCATTTAAACATTCATGTGTATTTCAGTATCACATTTTAATCTATAAAATACAGTTTTTCCTTCTGATTTTTTGATTTTTAATTTACTATAATTATTTCATTATTTCTTTATTGCAGGTGTGTTTGAGGAATAATCCTCTCTATCATGCTGGTGCAGTGGCCTTTTCAATTAGTGCTGGAATTCCTAAAGTTGGTGTATTAATGGAGTCTGTTTGGAATATGAATGATAGCTGTAGATTTCAGCTTCGGTCGCCAGAAAGTTTAAAGAACATGGAGAAAGCTAATAAAACTACAGAAACAAAGTAAGTGCTCTAAAATATTGTGAGGAACTTCTTTAATACACCTGCTCATAGGTGGAAATCTTTGAGAAGCATTGAATTATGGATCTCAGTCTGCTAACATTTTTCACCTAAATAGATTATTTCTCTAAGGACTATAGCAAGTAATGGAGAGAAGCAATTAGGTAGGCAGCCTTGAATAAAGCATAATTTTCAGGATTTTTGAATTTTTATTTCAGTTCCAATTTTCACTAAGGACAATTCTTTAATTTGTACATTTTAAACAGTTTTTAAATGTTATATTAACAAGGCTTGGTTACCTAAAGATATCAGAAAAATGAATAGGTATATCCAGAGCTTTGATCAGTCTTTATAATGAATTTGTGAGAAAGCAGACTTACTTATTTATGACTTTTGCATGCTGTCCCAAATGAGAGAGATTTCTTACAATAAATTAACTTGAAACCAGTTTAGATACAAATTAATGAAATTAGAAAACGTGTAAATGGGATAAGAAAAAATGAAATGGCAATTCTAGAATAAAAACACGAATTCTAAGCCTGACTGACTTAAAGTACATAAATTACTTTTTTCTTTGAAATCTTAGGCCTGAAAGTAAGCAGGAACCAGTGAAAACTGAAATGGGCCCACCGCCTTCTCCAGCCTCTACCTGCAGTGATGCGTCTTCAATAGCAAGCAGTGCATCAATGCCATATAGTAAGTTACATGGAAGGAAATAGTTCGTAATTGCATTGTCACTAATTGTAGCGATTTATCCATAATTAATGTCTAAATATTTAAAATCTTAATATAGTTATTTGGAAAATGCCAAATTTTTGATCTATTTATATATTTTTTATTGTTTTTAATCACTGATGTTTTCATATTTTCTTCATCACATTAACTATATATGACTGTAGTATCAAGACATAGTTGCTCTGAATTCTGCCTGTTGCTTGTAGGTAGCACAAGGCCGAATTGCTCCTGTTGCATTCTCCAGCCAGTGGGAGTCACTAATTCATCCCAGCAGTGTGAATTCGACATATAGAATACATTATTAGGATATTGTCAGATTGATTTAGCTCTGCAGGAAATTTTTGTTCCTCAGCTGTTTCTGATTACTTTAATTGTTGCCGCTGATGGGAAATTTTGAACAGTGGCAGTTGAGTAACACATATACAAATGGCCTAGTTACTTGTTCTTCCAATATTAATGGCTTTGCAATCTGTGGTGGATTAAATATAGAGAAAACCTCCTTATCTGCAATAAAGGTTGCTGCCATACTGTTCGACTTAGAAGACATTGTGGAGGGGGAAGTATTTCACACATGGCAGAATGTTGTGTGGGCTTTTACACATGTATAAAGTACTTTTTTCATCTGTGGTTTCTTTATATGTGGTTGTTAACCTGAAATGGAACTCCTGTAAATATTAAGATCCAGGTTTATGCAGCTTGTAAACAACAAGCTAGAATCCTCAGCAGTCCTGCTTTATCGTTATGTCCAAATGCAGCCAACCTTTTAAGAATAGATTCAGAGATCAATAAAATATTTAATAGATGAAAGTGTTTTAATGAGAAAGTTTATTTTTATTTATCCTTCATATTTCTTAAATCACCTATCTCATTTGGTTATAATATAATTATATTGTATATAAATAAGTTGCATTGCAGCCATATGCAGATTTTCTATGATCAAATGTATTTTAACACCCCCCCCCCATTCTTTGTACTTATCTAAGAACGGCGAAGATCTACCCCAGCTCCTAAAGAAGAAGAGAAGGTGAATGAGGAACAGTGGTCTCTTAGAGAAGTTGTATTTGTGGAAGATGTTAAAAATGTTCCTGTTGGGAAGGTTTGTATAAAACAAATTCCATTTTTGTTTTCTTTTGGGTATTGATTTTCTTTTTTTTTTAATTACATCAAAACTTGTCATAGTAAATATTTTATTCTGAAACAGAGATGTGTACAAATATTTTTGAACTAGATGCTGTCTATTTTGAATGGCCGTAATCAAAACAAGATACATTACAAGCTGCTTCTCTGCTGCAGGATATTATCTCAAATAGATGGAATATTTTTTCTCTGTAGTTATTCTGCTAAACGGGAGCTGTCGATTAGTGTTAAATATATATTCTCATATGCAATCTGAGATTATAAGTGATGTAGCTATCATAAGTCACTTAATTAGAATATATCACTTCAAAATAGCGGATGCATTTTGAGTATATAATATTGCAACATAACAGTTTTAGTTAGGTAATTGCAGTTTTAATGTGTTGGGAGTGGGGAATACTTTTTGGTTTTGAACTTCTTTAAAGGCAGCATAAAAATAAAATACATTTAAACTACAGCTTCTAGGCAATCAGTTGACAACTTTCAGAGCTCGTTAGTATTCTGTAAGTGATATATTAATGGGGACATAGTGGCTCAATGGCTAAGACGCTGGGCTTGTTGAGCAGAAAGGTCGGCAGTTTGGCACTTCGAATCCCTAGTGCCATGTAACGGAGTGAGCTCCCATTACTTTCCCCAGCTTCTGCCAACCTAGCAGTCCAAAAGCATGTACAAATGCAAGTAGAAAAATAAGGACCACCTTGGTGGAAAGGTAACAGCATTCCGTGCGCCTTCGGCATTTAGTCATGCCGGCCATATGACCACGGAATTGTTATCAGACAGCCCTGGTTTTTCGGTTTAGAAACGGATATGAGCACCGTCCCCTAGAGTTGGGAACAACTAGCACGTATGTGCAAGGGGAATCTTTACCTTTAAGTGATACACTGGATAACCTGCTATGTTACAAATTAAGAAAAAAAGATTCTTTGTGTGAAGTAAGATACTAGATTTTTTTCATTCTGTTCTGATAAAATACTAAAATGGTGGCCCAGAGCAATCCTGGGAGCACAGAAGCTTTTAGTGAGGCTGGAAGATTTGTTTAAATTGAATATAGGCATCTTCCACAAAAATAGATTATGATACTACTGTGCTGTGTTGCTACTTCAAGTACATGTTCTTTAGCAAAACAAAATTATGTGTTATAATACTGTGGTATGCATATGGTAGAAAAACTGTCTGGGACCTTCCACTTTAAAAATAAGGTAGGCAGCATCTCTGATGCTAAAGGTATTTCTTAAAACTGCAATATTTTTAGTATATCTTAAAACTTAAGTTTTCAACTTCATTACGTTTTTCATTTTATTCTATTTACATACTTTTGTTCTAGGTATTAAAAGTGGATGGTGCTTATGTTGCTGTAAAATTTCCAGGAACATCTACTACTGCAAATTGTGCAAGCAGCACTGGTTTAGATCCTGATCCCTCTTCTCTTCTTCAAGATTGCCGATTGCTCCGAATAGATGAACTACAAGTATGTGTAGTAATGAGAAAACATGACCGTGTAAATGGTTAGCAGTTTGCTGCTAAGGGCTACGTTACCATTTGCTAATCATCTTTAAAAAGATGTCAGCTATAGAAGATGCAGCAATGAGCAGCTAATAGAAGGGACTGGAGAACTGATAATGTGAAATCTTATATTTCATGAACCTTGATTTTTTTTAAAATGAGATTTTAAATGAGATTTTAGAATTACCCAAATTCTATCTTTTAAACAAAAACCTCGTACCATTTATAAAACAGCAGTAAATTCAGAATAAGTAAAAAAGTGTAACATGCTTTTAGTTTATCTATCTATCCATCCATCCATCCATCTCAGGGGTGTCAAACTGGCATGGATTGGATGCGTCACACGCAGGCCATGCCCACCCCAGTTCCGCAAAGGGGAAAACCACCATGAAACATCACATGATGGCAACGTGATGTCGCGAGTTTGACACCCATGATATTATAGGATACAATGATGGATATTTTGTTAGATTACATTAAAAAGAATGTGTCTAATGATGAATGTCAAATTAATCAAAAATTTTAGCCAGAACAACTTCAAAAAATCCCTCAGTATGTTGAGTAAATGTCAAGGACAGTGAATGGAGGGAAGGAATTGATTTCTAGCATCATGATGACCTATTTGTCACCATGCAAGTAAAAATAGCTTGGCCGAGACTCCAGAAGAATCTCATTACATTTTTAATGAGAGAAATCATTAGATACAGCAAGTTAACTGAATTAGAGTCTTATTTGTTACAGGTGGTAAAAACTGGTGGGACACCAAAAGTTCCAGATTGTTTTCAGAGAACTCCTAAAAAACTATGTATTCCAGAAAAAACAGAAATTCTGGCAGTTAATGTAGATTCAAAAGGTAAGTGTGAATTTTTTTCTTCCTCACTTTCTTGGCTTATCTATGGTTTAATAATAGACAACCTGTGACCCTTTGGATCATCCTTTCAGAGACATTTCCTTACCCTCAATACCATAAAAAAGACAGAATTTCTAATGCCTTCACTAGAAAAGTTATGATGCATTCAGAGATGTATCTGCCATCAGCAGAGGAAATTCTTTATGATGTTTTATATTATTCCATAAACTGCTTTATGATAATTTTTATGTCATAAAATGTTTTATAAATTTTGCCAAGTTTCAATTCCATAGTTGTAGGTCTTGGATTTTGAATTCAGTCTGTAAATTAGGCCATTTGAGGTACTTTGGTTCAAAAATTGTTGCTATGATGAACTGTTTTGCCCAGCTAAAGTTTACAGGAACAAGACTTTTAGTATATAAATATGTTACATTAGCATTTTCTCGCCACTTTTTAGGAGTCCATGCTGTTCTCAAGACTGGAAATTGGGTTAGATATTGCATTTTTGATCTAGCAACTGGAAAAGCAGAACAGGAAAATAATTTCCCCACTAGCAGCCTTGCTTTCCTTGGGCAGAATGAGAGAAGTGTTGCTATTTTCACTGCTGGACAGGTTTGTTTTATTCTGAAATATTTAGAAATGTGCTTTAATGCAAACTTGAATTATTTTGAACTATGTCTTTATAGGAAACCTATCAATATTCTTGATCCATATACAGGGTGCATATTTTTTCTTATATTTGGAATGCAAGGAATAGGAAAGGAAAGAAAGCTACAGATATTTAATACTATCAAGAGGGTTTGTCCAAGCCTATGGCACAGTTCAGTTGAGGGGAAGAAAATGTTGGGAAGGTCTCCTTTTCTGTAATATTTGGAACTATTTCATTGGTGAATATACAATCCCTACACAAAATAGGAATGGTCAATTCCCATCATCCCTAAAATTTGTGATATTGTGATATCTATGTTACTGGATGAAATAATAAAATGTGTGCATCAGTGGTGGGTTGCAGGCTGTATGCTCAAAACAATTTTTCATTTGAAACTTTTTGCATATTTATAATAATTGCTCTTAGTTTGTGATTGCTTTGAAGACAGGTTGTGATTAAGATGAGTTGAGCTGGGTTTACTTCAGGAGCTGATACACTGCTAGAGGCCACATTTGTCTTGTTAAAATAGGCAAGAAGGCGAAAATATTCAACCAAAAAAATAGCTGGTAGATGAGGAATGTAAACTTCTTTGTAAAGTATTAACTGAAACAATAGGAAAAAATAACTAGAATTTTGTATTTCATGACATTTTGCTTTTTAAATAGGAATCACCAATCATTCTTAGAGATGGAAATGGCACTATATATCCAATGGCAAAAGATTGTATGGGTGGAATAAGAGATCCTGATTGGCTTGATCTCCCTCCTATCAGCAGTCTGGGAATGGGAGTACATTCCTTAACAAATATTCCTGCTAATTCAACCATTAAAAAGAAAGCTGCTATCATCATAATGGCTGTTGAGGTAATTAAATGTATTGAACATGCTATATGCTAAATAAATAATTAAATAAATATATTAAGCAAAGTTAGAGGCATTTTATCTTTTAGTAATTTTCTCTCCTGGTTTGCATTCAGTGTTTGTAGATATTCCTAAATAGTGAAGATTTCTGCTGTATTACAAATACTTTGATTAAATCAAAGATCTTTTTCAAAGTTATATAGTTTATTTCTGAAGAGTTGTGCAATTTAAGCACCCATTACCCTATAAAGTTATAGCTAGAAACTTTAAAAATATAGTCCGGTAATTGCAGATTGTTCTGCTTTGATGTTAAATATACTGAAAATTAAAACAGACATTTTATCTCCTTGTCAGCAAGCATTTGGCTACAGTCAGAGATTTTAAATGTACATTATATTGCTTGCCATTTCAGGCAGGTAGATTTTAAAGGGCCAAAATTTACTAGTTTTATAGATCATGCACTTTTGACTGAAACCTACTGGTAAAATTAATTAATGTATAAAATGCAACATTGATCTTTTATTATCACATTTTTATTGATTGTATTTCTGGCTCACCCCTTTTCATTAAAATCAGAGCAGTAACATAGTTTTAAAAAATAAACAGCATACAGTAGCATATACTGGGTAACGGTGCCTTTTTTTTTTTTTTGGGGTGCAGAAGCAAACTTTAATGCAACATATTCTGCGATGCGACTATGAGTCCTGCAGACAGTATCTTATGAACCTCGAACAAGCTGTTGTCTTGGATCAGAACCCACAAATGCTACAGACATTCCTTGGCCATCGATGTGACGGAAATAGAAATATTCTGCATGCTTGTGTGTCTGTGTGCTTTCCAACCAGTAATAAAGAAACTAAAGAGGAAGAAGGTAAGCTGAACTATCTGATGCAAATTCTTCTGCACATTGTTGAAAGAAGGGTCCACTGTTATTGAGAAATCAATTTTGAACTAGCTTTGTACATATGTAGACAAATTAGTCACTTTGAGAGTCTTTGAGATTCAAACATTATACCCATGGCCAACACAGCTACCTGGAGACTTAAAAGTGGGCACAATGATATGAAGCACTTCAGTTTTAAATCCAAAAATACGTTTCAGAGCAGGATGGACCTGCATACTACAATTGTTGGTATTTAAGCTGCATTTTTTTCCTGGACCAACAGAGTCCTTTAGAGCAGCCATGGGAATGCTGTCAACACCTCCTTAACACAAGCATATAATTTCCTGGAAATACAGAAGATCTTTATACCCATTTGAACTGTCTGGATCTCCTGATATTCCTGGCACTTGACAGCTGTAGAGTAAAGGAGAAAGGAAGCTAATTTTGGTCCCCATTCTCTAAATCATTGATAGGCAACTTATGAGTTCTTTGTGACCCTTAACTGCATCACCAAAATTTAGTAGCAAAACATCTGATTTCCAATGATATTATCATCTGTGGGTTGGGTTTTTTTTTTTTTTTTGAACAGCTGCCTTAGACAGCTGGGAAATTATTTGCAGTTTTATTCCATAAACATTCATGCAAAACCAGACTCAAATATATTTATTTCCAAACTTTCTGCTAATATTACTTGGAGGCAAAATATAACAACAATGTCAACTACTTTCTGTGTTACCCAGTGCTGCTTTAAATGCTCTGTAAGCTATTTTTGAGCCTGTGAACATTGCGTCCTCAAAAAGCATCATTACATTGCTAAGAGATTGACATCCACATTTACTGAATGTTATAGTAAAGAGCTTAAGTTGCCTTGCTAGCCATTAGTTGACTGTCAATTGATCAACATGCAGATACCGTACTTTTCACCTTTTTAGACACACCTTTTTCCCTCAAAAAAGAGACTGAAAATCTGGGTGCGACTTATACACTGAATACAGCATTTTTTTTGCCCCTGAAACCCCACCCCCTTCATCAAAATGGCCCTGCATAGCTTGTAGGAGGCCATTTTTTGCTCAATTTTGCTTCCCCCACCAGTCCCCCGGAACACTCTACAAGCCTTCTAAGGGCTATTCATGCCCTTTTTTTGAAAACAACAACAACAACAACAAAACGGGCCCATTTTCGCAAAAAACGGGCTGTTTTTGGGGAGGTTTGCAGAGTGCAAAAACTTTTTTTTTAATTTGCCTTTTTAAACTTTATTAAATAAACTTATCCCTCTCATTATTTTGAATTTGAGTAAATATTTGATATTAATATGCTATTGATTTCATATTAGGACATTTATATAAAAATGACAAATGCATGTGAAAGATAAATTGTTTCAGCCATGATATCAACAGTTTTTTCAAGGTTCTTATTTATGTTTCAGAAGCAGAGCGCTCAGAAAGGAATACGTTTGCTGAAAGATTATCTGCTGTTGAAGCTATTGCAAATGCTATTTCAGTGGTGTCAAGTAATGGACCAGGAAATCGTGCAGGTTCCTCCAGCAGTAGAAGGTAAGTTAGTTGTGAATGATGATGTTATCCTTTCAGTCGAGTCTGACTTTTAGTGATTTTATGGGCCAGATCACTCCTTATCTTCCACTACTTCTTTGAATTTTTTAATGTTCTGGCTGGTGTCAGCTTTGATGCTCTCCAGCCACCATGTTCTTTGATGGCCTAGTTTTCCTGACTCTTACTGCTGACTCTTCCAAACATAATTGCTTTCTCCACTGAATAAGCTTCTTATTCAGTGAATGTTTTCAAAGAAGACACCAAGAAAGTTCAGTTGCCTTTTGGAAAAAACACATTTGGGACCTTTGAATTGTGATGCTGGAGAAAATTGTTTTTAATAATTAATATTATTATTATCGAGTAATGTAATGTGAATCACAAGAAAACTGCATCATTACAGATGAGGTGAAATCAGGTTTGGAAGCCATAATGAAAATAACATATATATTTTGTAATACAAAGGTAGGATTCACTGGAGAGAGCTGACACTTAGAAATATCAAAAGCAGTTGGAAGGAGAGGCTAATGAAAGGCAAGATGGCTGGATACTTTTACTTGATTACAGAAGTATAAACTTAGAAGAATTTACCAGCTTGGCAGGCAATTTTGGTAAAATTATATATCTATATTTCTAAAAATGCACCATTAATTATGATTTCCTTTTTATTGTTAGTTTGCGACTGAGAGAAATGATGAGACGATCTTTGAGAGCAGCAGGTTTGGGCAGACATGAAGCTGGAGCTTCATCAAGTGACCATCAGGATCCTGTTTCTCCTCCCATAGCTCCTCCAAGCTGGGTTCCTGATCCTCCAGCAATGGATCCTGGTAAGATCCTGAGATGTTCCTCTGCATAATTGCAGATTCCAAACAAATGTTAATGCTATGTCAGAGGAAACCTGTAGCAAGAGTAATGTAAATGTAAATATAAATGTAAATGAAAGACATATATACCTAGCATTAAATACCTATAATATGTACCGTATTTTTCAGAGTATAAGATGCACCTTTTCCCCTCAAAAAAGAGGCTGAAAATCTTGGTGCGTTTTATACACTGAATACAGCATTTTTTTGCCTCCAAAAACCACACCCCCTTCACCAAAATAGCCATGCAGAGCCTTTAGGAAGCTTTTAGAGAGCTCCTGGGGCTGGGAAGGACCGAAATGTGCAAAAAACGGCCCATTTTTTGCTCAATTTTACCCTTCTCCCAGCCCCCAGGAGCACTCTATAAGCTTCCTAGATGCTATCCATTCCCCCCCCCCCTTTTTACAAAAAAAGGACCGTTTTTGTGAAAAACGGGCTGTTTTTTGCTCACCCCGCCCCCAAGCACTCTGCAAGCCCCCTAAAGGCTATTCATGCCTTTTGGGGGGGGGAGGGGAAACGGGCCCGTTTTTGTGAAAAATTGGCTGTTATGGGAAGGTTTGCAGAGTGCAAAAACTTTTTTTTTAATTTGCCTCTTCAAAACCTTGGTGCTTCTTATACAGTATATAACATAACCTATTTGACTGCATGCAGTATTTAATGAAGTTAAATTATCAAACAAATGGATGTTTGTAGCAATTGTTGCTTATATTAAGCTTGTTGCTTGCTGTTTGTTAGTTACTTCCGACTTATTGAATAACCTTTCGCTAGAAGAAAACTTCAAGCAGTGATTTTTTTTTTAGTTAAGGGGGGATTTCATGTTGGGATGTGTTTTATTTATTGATGTACATCCTGCTATTCTATTTGCTAAAGATGGTGACATTGATTTTATCCTGGCTCCTGCTGTGGGATCTCTTACCACAGCAACAACTGGCACTGGCCAAGGACCAAGCACTTCTACCATACCAGGTGAGAGAACATTATTTGATATGCTGAAATACTATGTAGGTGCATTTACCTAAAAAAATTCTACAGGTGTACTAACTACTGTTGTTTGCAAGTATTTCTGTAAGTCTTACAAGTATATTCCATAATAATTTGCATGCATTAAAATATGTTGTTAGTTAAAATGTTTCTTTAGAATATAAAATGTCCAGTCCTTCTATTTCCACTAATATTAATAATGTTGTCATATCACATTTCAAATATAGTCATAATTGTCACAGCAACAAAGCAGCTTTTAAATTTTGTTTTTATCCATGCTCTCTCATTTGTAGGTCCTTCTACAGAACCTTCTGTAGTGGAATCAAAAGACAGGAAGGCCAATGCACATTTCATACTGAAATTGTTGTGTGACAGTGTTGTTTTACAGCCATATCTCCGGGAACTCCTGTCAGCCAAGTAAGGGTCCTCTGGTTAAATTTCATGCATACTCTTGAGAAGCAGGTAGAATAATTTGCTTCTTCAAAACTGTCAGTATTTGGCTTTATTCCTGCTTTTTCAGTCATGCATCTTAAGTTGAAATCATCTGTCCTCATATTCCCCTATGTATATTTGAAAATAAGGACTCAAGTAAAATGTATGCTGTTTTTTTTAATGTTTATATGGTGATTATTTTAAAAAAAACTTTCCTGAAGATATTTTAATTGGAAAATGACATGGATATATTTTTACTTCTAGGGATGCAAGGGGAATGACACCATTTATGTCTGCAGTCAGTGGCAGAGCATATCCTGCTGCAATTACTATTTTAGAAACTGCACAGAAAGTTGCAAAAGGTATGGATATTTTTTTTAAAAAAATTGCTAATGATTTAGGATTTTTTCTTTTGGGAGTTTGACACATTTTATAATATAGAATGAATAGAAAATTGCAGTTTCCTTGCTACTTGTCTCATATTACATGGAATATTCCCCTTCTCTGTGGTTGGATTAATTCAGCTGAAGGAATTTTCTTCAAAAATTTATTTCTTTACCCTATATGTAGTGGATTATATTTTAATTGAGACCCAGGTTGTGGAGTGGTTAAGGCACCAGGCTAGAAACTGGGAGACTGAGTTCTAGCCCTGCCTTGGGCATGAAGTCAGGTAGGTGACCTTGGGTCAGTCAGTCTCTCTCAGCACTAAGAAGGAGGCAATGGCAAACCACTTCCAAAAAAACTTGCCAAGAAAACTTCAAGGATTCATCCAGACAACCTCTGAGAATTGGACATGATTGAATGAAGAAAAAAACTATATTCATTATTTATTGCCATTTTATCTTGTTGACTTAAAACAGTTTCAGTTTATTAAAAGAGAGTGTATAGCAGTTCCTCTCAATAAAGTCAAATAGTCACAGGACAACCTACTTCTAGCAAGAATTTAGCGTACGTATTGCATAATATGTAACTGAAGTAAAACTGTGTTTCTTTTTCACTATTGTGAAGCTTCTGAGTATTAAGGTTTTTAAACCCCTAGTTCTGATGTTTAATTTGGAACCTCCCCTCCTCTTTCTTCTCCTTTTTAAAGCAGAGGCAATGTCAAGTGAAAAAGAAGAAGATGTCTTTATGGGAATGGTTTGTCCAACTGGCACAAATCCAGATGACTCTCCTTTGTATGTTTTGTGTTGCAATGATACTTGTAGTTTTACATGGACTGGTGCAGAACATATAAATCAGGTAAATTTAGGGAGTTTTGGTTGGCATTTTTGTCATTTGTTTTTTGCTGCTAGGTTAAACATCTTTATTTCCCCAAGCTTACAATTTATTTTAAAAAATCCTCCCTCCCTCCCTTCCAGACTAAAACAGTTTTGAAATCTCAGTATTTAAATCCAGTTGTAATTATTCTTGCAATAAACTCATTAACTTATGTTTAATTTATTTCCTTGATGTTAAAACTATGACTAATTTGGTATTCAGCCAAAGCGATAAGTGTTTACTTAGATGTTACCTTGCCTTAATACTTGTATGCTAAATGAAAAATCTAATCTTGAGTAACATTGGGAAAGGAAACAGTGCTCAGCTGATGTTTAATAATGAAAAGGGACATATAAATAATAAACCAGAAGAGTGACTTGGATAACATTCCTATATGGATTTAAAAAAGAGAATTCTATTAAAGTTTTGAAAGATTTTTTTGAGAAGAGACAAAGAAGAAGAAAAAAATCTAGTCCTAGGATATATTTAAACAGATTAAAAATCCAGATTGTTAAAAAGTAAAGGGAAGTAACCTAAAGTTGGTTACTTCATCAAGGTTAAAATAGATAGGTTACTATCTCTGGAATTTTGCTGACCAGAATGACAAGACTTCATAGTTTTGTTATAAATAAGAAATGAGACATGGGAAGAAGAATTCTTTTGTTGTATTTTAGGTGAAATTTAAGTGATAAGTTAATAAAATTGTTTTATACTTGCTATGACGAAGGGAGAAGTTACTTTATATGTTTCTTTTTCTTTTCTTTATTCTTATTCTTTCCTTATTTTCTATTTTTCTCCCCCCCCCTCCCCCATTTTTTCCTGGGTTTTTCTATTCTTTTCTACAGGTTTTCTTTTTTTCTTTTTTAGTTTGTATTAACTTTTACCTTTTTAATTGTAATGCTTAATAAAATTATTGCAAAAAAAGTGAACACAGCTGAAAATTAGCCCACTTTTTTTTTTAAAAAACACTCCTATTCTTAAGATAGTTACTGCTGCAAATGCACTTTTTCCAGTGTTTGCCTATTCTACAGAATGAGAAACGGAAGTCATAGTTTATGCCAAACATCCAGTGTACTTCCAATATCTATATGTAGAGAGAGAGAGGGAGGAGAAGAGTGTTAATTTGACTTTTTCTAAAATGTTGTTTTCCTCCCATTTCAGGATATATTTGAATGCCGAACATGTGGTTTATTGGAATCGCTGTGCTGTTGCACAGAATGTGCACGAGTGTGCCATAAAGGCCATGATTGCAAGTACGTTTATGTTTATTATAATGAATGTCACAGATTCTTTTAACTACACCCATTTTAGTGGGCTCTAAATACAAAAGAGCCATCACAACACAGGTATTCACAAGCTACTACTCACGACCATTCCATTTCTACTCCTCCTACTGCTATTCCAACCACTACTTCTGGTGAGTTTTGCTAGAGAAAATTGCCTCTTTCTAGGTGTTTTAGGCTACTTCAGGCTGCTTTACTTCCATACATGAACATAGACCCTCCACACCCAGCTGTCTCTCAATAAGCTTTTCTATCCAGTGATGTTGTGCTGGCTGGGGAGATGGCTGAAAGAGATGGACAATAGTAACAAGGAGTGGCCCCTTCTGGGCAGCCTGCTCTCTCACAATGAGATTTAAAATTGTTGTTATGTTTTTCTGCTCTTAATGTATGGAAACATAGGACACATAAGTTGAAATTCAACATGTGGAGCCCATTTCTGTTGGGGTGAGAAGGGGAAGATTCCCTCAAGTCAAGATTACCGTATTTTTCTGAATATAAGATGCACCTTTTTCCCCTCAGAAAAGAGGCTGAAAATCTGGATGTGTCTTATATGCTGAATACAGCATTTTTTGCCTCCTGAAACTCCGCCCCCTGTGCCAAAATGGCCGTGCATAGCTTTTAGAAGGCTTTCAGAGAGCTCCTGGGGGCTGGGGAGGACAGAATGAGCAAAAAACTGCCCGCCCTCCCTCCCGCCCTCAGTAGCAGTCTATAAGCTTCCTAAAGGCTATCCATGCCCTTTATTTGACAAAAAACGGGCTCATTTTTGTGAAAAACAGCCCGTTTTTTGCTCATTTTTGCCCCCCCCCTCCGCCGGGGAGCAGTCTACAAAGAGTGCAATTTTTTTTTAAAATTTTCCTCTTCAAAACCTTGGTGCGTTTTATACTCCGGTGCGTCTTAACTGCGAAAAATATGGTAACTCTAAATCATCACATGACCTTTGCCATTTTCTTTTCTTGGCAACATTTGGTAGCTTGCCATGGCCACTTTCTGAAATGTTTTTCTACTTCCCAGTCAAATATAAAGCATGGTATGACTTGAGTGTCTTCCATCCAAATGTCAACCGATCCTACTTTCTCTCTCTGACTGTCCGTCTCCTTTCCGTTTAGATACAGGGGTTTGAGTTTTCCTCCTTGTCAACATTTGCTATATATTCACAAGTACTGTATTTTTTGGAGTATAAGATGCTCCGGAGTATAAGATGTACCTTAGTTTTTGGGGAGGAAAATAGGGGTGAAAAAATTCTGCCTACCAGGTATTCATCTGGCTAGTCCTTAGCCTGGTCAGCTTCAGCACATTAGTTCGCTCGCTGATGTTGAGGTTGGGGATGGTGGGGGCTGTGCTTCTAAAGCACAGCTGATTGTCGGAGGGAGCAGCAATTTGAAAAGCAGGCAAAGCACGGAAGATTGCTTAGCTCATGTTTGGGCTGAAAAACAGCTTCAAAAGCACAGCTGATCCTCAGAGGGAGCTCCAGTGACTAAAGTAGGCAAAGCTTGGACAGGGTAAGAGAAGGCAGCAGCTGTTCCGGGTAGCCATTTTGGGCACTGCACATTGAGCATTTGGAGACTGAAAACGCAACACGCAGAGCCCCAAAACAAGCCATTGTTGGTGGCAATCTCTGCAGCCAGGAAGAGGATGTGCGGAGGCTGAAGGGTAGGGACTGGCGGGTGGACAGGGCTACATTCAGAGTATAAGACGCACCCAAATTTTCAGCCTCTTTTAGAAGGGAAAAAAGTATGTCTTATACTCACTTAGGCAAGGGACAATTTACTCTCTTTCACAATTGTTACTCTTAACTTAGTACAGTCTTTTATACATGACCATAAAACTCACATTTTTAGATCTATATTTCAGATTGATACGAAAATTGATCATAATTAAAAATTCCTCTCTTTCAGGCTTAAACGCACATCACCTACAGCATACTGTGATTGTTGGGAGAAGTGCAAGTGCAAAACATTAATTGCAGGACAAAAATCTGCCCGTCTTGATCTGCTTTTCCGGCTGCTTACTACTACAAATCTTGTCACCATGCCAAATAGTAGGCAAGTGCCTGTTTATTCCAAATGGGAGAATGTGATCTGGGAAATTCAGAGCAGTCTTTTTTTTTTAACAATTCTCTCCGTGTTCTAGGGGGGAACATCTTCTACTGTTCTTAGTACAGACAGTTGCGCGACAAACAGTAGAGCACTGCCAATACCGTCCACCAAGAATTAGAGAAGATCGTAATCGTAAAACTGCAAACCCTGAAGGTAGGCCGTTCAATGACTTACAAAATTTTCTGCTACAGTTGTACCTGTTACAATCTCCCAGCACACATAAAAGGAGGAAAATATATAATATAAATACTATTATATTAGCTATCCCAGGCTTCTCATTCCATTATTTTCCTGCCTGAAGGATGAACTTAGCAGCTATTTTTGTTATATTTCCACAGTTGTCTTCCCTTTCTGATCTTAATATTTACTTTTCCCATCATCTTTCCAGTTTCAGGGTATACAACTGAACCTCATTTTTTGAGGGTCCACTCCAAATTGATAAAATCATCCTCTAATTTGGAGAGGTCAAAGGCATTTTAAGATGCGAAATGGAAAGCCTTAACCATCTGCAATACTTAAGGCATCCATTTTATTCTTTAATTCACCAAGCCTCAAAATGCAAAAGAAATTCTACATGAACAAGAAAATATGTATCCTGTCCATAGATGTCTCTAAGTCACAAACATAACAGAATGCCGGTCACTTATTCGAAAAGCTTTTTCTGCTTTGAGGCAGAGAGCCATCAAAATTATTTCTACTAATTTAATTTTTTTGCCACCTTCTTATAGAAAATAGTGGACTATATTTGTTATTGTTTCTCCAATTATATTATAGTGGCTTCTCCAGACTCTCTTCCAACCAAACAGTAGATAAAAATGGAAAGGAAGTTTGTGACAGAACGTAGCAGCAGATTTAACTATGTAACTTCCTTGGATTTTCTGAGCAGTTCAATTCATACTTGCAAGCTTACCAAACTGGAAGGACTCCCATTTATCTAGCTGACTATCTCACAAATGACTCTGGGTATCTTACAATAAAAACAAAGAGTTTAAAAAAAACTATAATAAAAGTAGCAATATTTAACAATGTGGCCATCTCAACAAGTTTCCATTTCCCTAATATCCCAAAACCTGTTGGCATAGCCATATCTAATTATGGAAAAGAATATTCCATTGTGGAAAAAACAATTGAAGTCTTCTTTTATTTGTATCTTAGATTCAGATATGCCTGATCATGATTTAGAACCGCCACGATTTGCACAGCTTGCCTTGGAACGTGTTTTACAAGACTGGAATGCCTTGAAATCGATGATCATGTTTGGCTCACAGGAGAACAAAGACCCGTGTGTATAGACACCATGTTTCGGTTACTTTGAAAATTTGCTTTGTGTTGTAGACATGCAACTACATTTTATTCTCTTTTTCTCTCTTTTTTTGCTTTTTTCCAAGTCTTAGTGCAAGCAGTAGGATTGGTCACCTTTTACCTGAAGAACAAGTTTACCTTAATCAGCAGAGTGGTACTATTCGGCTGGATTGTTTTACACATTGTCTCATTGTGAAATGTACAGCAGATATTTTGGTAAGGCGTGTGTTTCTTTTTTCTTTTTCTTTTTTGGTATACATGGTGCCAGTTTTCTTTTTCAATTAAAAGCTCATATAATAATTTGCAAATCTAAGCTGTGATGTGACAGTTGTTTTCTTTAGCTTTTAGATACTTTGCTGGGGACACTTGTCAAAGAATTGCAAAACAAGTACACTCCAGGTCGCAGAGAAGAAGCAATTTCTGTTACAATGCGGTTTCTGCGTTCTGTAGCTAGAGTTTTTGTAATTCTTAGTGTGGAAATGGCTTCCTCAAAAAAGAAAAAGTAAGTTGTTTTTTAAAAAAATCTTTACTTAAATTAACATTGGGGTGAAAACTGCCACTGTATTTTTAAATTACATATACATGCATGTAGTTTTTTTTAATATGAACCTCAAGCTTCAGTTCAGTATAAAAGAAAAACAGAATGGCCCCCTGCGCTTTATAAATAAATGTCCCTTTTATATGGAAAACTTGTGAGTCACTAGCGTTTGTCAAAATAGGAGCAATTAAGAAAATATAATAATCATTTCCATTAGCTTTAAGCTATTTGATTGACAGCTGTTTTGGTTGTATAAATTAGATGGAAATGTAGCATATTATGCCTCTGATCATTACTATTTTAAAGACGGTGTATTGAAGTGTTTATTGGCGGAAATAATTTGGCATCATGTCTAATGACATGTTGCCACATGGTTTCTACTTTTATTTATTTGTTTATTGTTTAAACAATATAGTGGTGCTTTTATACCTGTCAGATCTGTGGGTAGGTGCATTGGAGAAACTATGCATCTTCTTAACAAGAACTGAACAAACTCCTCCATAGGGTTGAATTAAGACAGGAAGACATATTTTATTTAAATATTTTGCTATTTTTGCTGGTTTTCATTTTGCATGGCGTTTACATAGTCAGATTCCCGGGAACAAGTTTACTATTGAAGAAAAACAGACAAGGGTAATTGGGTGAAGAATTAAGGAATTATTTTACTTCTATATTCCTAGATTTATCTACGAACAAAATAACAACAATAATTTTGCAAAATATGTCAAAAGTGGATTTTACAAGAGTTTGAAAGATGATAGTAAGATAATCATATGCTGGCATATTGAGTGCAGCAAGGGAATAATTGAGGGTTGTTGTGAGGAAGAATCGTGGATTGTGTAAAAGACATAATTGAGTGATCTATCAAGATACAGCAGTGCAGAAAAGGAGATGGAGCAAAGTCATAAAGGGATTTAAATGATGAGGAATCACACTGGACTAAGCAGGAAGCCAGAATTTAAGAAGGGAGGTTTATTTAATTAGAAGGAGAGAAGTGACTAATTTGGGAAACAGAAGGCTTGATAGTAATTAATTCTGGATAATGTGAGAACAGTTCAGTAGTTCTGAGACCTGATCAGGGCTTTGACACATTTTTTTCTTCGAAAGGATTTTTTTTTGCAGCATTATAGGAGGAGTTACAGTTTGACCATGGATTGAAAGTAAGGAGAAATTGCTGTAATTACATGGGTAGCAAAAGCATTAAATAAGAATAGTCTTGATTTTATATGTCTTTTATATTTTGGTCCCTTTGGAATTAATAGATTCCTTCATTTTTCCCTTTCCCAACTCTTTTTCAGCAACTTTATTCCGCAGCCAATTGGAAAATGTAAGCGTGTATTCCAAGCTTTATTACCTTATGCTGTAGAGGAATTATGCAATGTAGCAGAGTCCCTCATTATCCCAGTTAGGATGGGTATTGCACGTCCTACAGCACCTTTTACATTGGCAAGCACAAGTATAGATGCCATGCAAGGCAGTGAAGAGCTGTTCTCAGTAGAACCTCTTCCTCCACGGCCATCTTCTGACCAGTCCAGCAGGTAATGTCCAGCACGTAGCTTATTATGATTACATTCTTCTAAATGCAATGCCATATGCTCTTTGTCAGGTTGTCTTTGGTGCAGGTGAGTTTACTTTAAAGTAACAAATGGCAACCCCCCCTCCCCCCATGCATAAACACATAAGAGCAAACAGTAAAAGAGCTGGTTCTCCAGTGTTATATATATAAAAAGAGTCCAAAATGATTCTTTCTCTATATATTTCTTTATATAATTTAGCTATAGTTGAGGATCCCACAAATAATCCTCAACTTTTGACATGTCACTTAGTGACTGCTTGAAATTATGATGGGCTTCCCTGGGGTGCTTAAATCCAAAGCTCCCCCCCCCCGGTCACATGAATGCACATGGGGCACTCGTGGCAGCTGGCACACATTTATTCACAGCCTCCTGCAGTCATGTAGTGAGCGCATAGTGAACCATTGGTTTGCTTAATGACTGGCGCAGAAAAGAAACCCAGGCTGTGGTTTTTGCTGTCTGCTTGTGCTGCTTCCTTAGCTCCAAAACTGGATCCTAAAACACTTTTCAGAACCTGGAAGGCAGCCTGCCAACCTAATTGACCCTTGATATTCTTCCTAGCAACTTTGGGGTTCATTTAATCAAAATACTCATCCAGAGACCCAGTGCTTGGAAAAGTGCCATAAGTTTTCTTCTCCATGGGTTCTTTTTTATTGTCTTTTGAGAAAGAAGAACATGACTTTGTTTTCCCACACTCCAAGTGTGCAAAGGAGAGAAAACCAAAGAGCAGCATTCTTTTGTTTCTGCTTCCTTGTCCTTATTTGGAAAGGAGGACTAAACGAAAAAAAACATGCAGTTTGGGTGACATGTTTAACATAAGCTTTAACATTGCTTCACAATGAGAGCACGAGGGAGGACTCAGCAGGCACTAATTTTTGGAAACAGGGTGGCGTATTCAGATTGAACATAACTGGAACCCTATCAGATTATCAAAAATAATTTGCAGCTCTGTCACCATCAAAGTTGCTCACAGTTCCCAATCTAGTTTGAGAACCAGTGAATTTTTGTAATCTGAACAGAAGAAGCATATTCTTTGGAGATTAAATGATTATACCCCTCTTTGATTTGGATGACTCCCGACTTTCTAGCCTCCAAACTCTCTGGCCTTTACTAAGGCACTCAAGACCTGGTGCTTCCCCTGGACATAGAGTGAAGTTTAGGAGCGAGCCCATCTTGTTTTTGATCAGAAGTTTGCTAAGTGACTCCCAACAGTGCTTGGTTGATTTTAATTTTCTAAAATGCGTTTTCCAGTTTGTTAACTCCCCAGAGTTTGGGCAGGCATATAAAGTCAGTTAGGTAACAAAAATAGTCATAGAAAATCTTCTCTCCATTGATCTATTTTTTGATGTCAAAATTATGTTTATGAGTATTGCTTTGTGTTTGTATTTTTTTAAAGGCTTTCTTCTCCCTTCTGTTTTCAGTTCCAGTCAGTCACAATCCTCATATATCATTAGGAATCCACAGCAAAGGCGGATCAGTCAGTCTCAGCCAGTTCGTGGCAGAGATGAAGAACAAGATGATATTGTGTCAGCAGATGTGGAAGAGGTTATTATTGTAATTGTTTTCAATACACAATGTTGTGTGTATTTCAAAATAAATACTGGTTTAGAATAATGTGAATTCTGTAAGCATGTGCACTTTTGCCTGTAAAGTTAATACTTCATAAACAATTATCTAACTTTGTAGACAGCCATATAAAATACTAGAAACACTGCCCTGTTGACTTCTAAGTATCCTGGACTCTGAAAAGAACAGTATAACCTATTGTGTGTTTTTCATTTCTCTTTGCTTTGGGGGATTCTGTTTGGCAGTTCTTGAACATAATAAAAAGCACATGCATAAAATATCCATAAAGGTCAGATTTATACCGTGTTTCCCCGAAAATAAGATAGAATCTTATTTTCTTTTGACCCCTGAAATAAGCGTTTGACCTTATTTTTGGGGCAGTCTTTTTATTTTTGAGGTGCAGGAGGCAGCGAGTGTGGTCACCACATGGCTGCTGCTGTGTTGCAATATTTTCAGTGAGGGCTTATTTTTGGGGGAGGGCTTATTTCAGCACATGCGCTCAAAAGCCTGATTGGGCTTATTAACTGGGGAGGTCTTATTTTCAGGGAAATGGTATATACAGTAAGTTGTAGGTCATTATATGTGTGACTTGGTATTATACTCTTTCATGCCAGGTTGAAGTAGTTGAAGGAGTTGCAGGAGAAGAAGATCACCATGATGAACAAGAAGAACATGGTGAGGAAAATGCAGAAGCAGAAGGCCAGCACGATGAACATGATGAAGATGGTATGCTTTATCTCTGTCTTTGGTTGAGACTAGGCATAGCTATGGCCTTGTTCATGGTTACTCAAAGAATGCTGTAACATTTTCATTGAGGTTTACTTTCTAGCAAGTCTGTTGAAGTGCAGCATAAATTATCCTTGCATTAGTACTGTTATAAGTTAATAAGAACTGACCTTTCATATTGATTTCAGCTCTTCAATAAAAGATTGCAGAATGTATATATTTTATTCTAACACAATAAAGTCCACAGTTCATTTTACTTTGCCACAAAAGTGGTACAAATAATAATGTAACTTGCATATCTATCAAAAGCATTGAAAAGGATCATATTTACTAAATAGCACATCCCCAGCCTGTTAAGCTAGGGTTTAGAGAACTACTTTCTGTTACAAGCAAGAACATGGTGGAAGAAATATGCAAATTTCCAATGTGATGGTAAATAGTGGGTGTGATTTAACCTAGTTTTTTTTTAAAGAATCTGAATTATTTTGTAAACATTTTGTAATAGTTGCATACATTTCATTATACTTACCATTAGGAAGCGATATGGAGTTGGATTTATTGGCGGCAGCAGAAACAGAGAGTGACAGTGAAAGTAATCATAGCAACCAGGATAATGCTAGTGGGCGCAGAAGTGTTGTCACTGCAGCTACGGCAGGATCAGAAGCAGGTAATGTGCTTTGTGTCAGCTTCATTTTCCTGGGATGCCCCAATACAGTACATTGAAAAAATTGGGATAAGAGTTGCTTTAAGTTTGAGAGATTGTTTGAAAAGTGGAGAGATATTTTGTCTGCATAATATCGATATATGCCCGCAAGACTCTGAATAAGAGAGTTGCTTTAAATTAGATTGTTTTGAAAAGTGGAATGATGTTTTGTCTGCATATTATCTAGGATAAAAAGATGCCCTGAAGACTCTGAATAAGAGTTACTTTAAAAAGTTATATGTTTTGAAAAGTGGAGAGATATTTTGTCTGCATATTATCTTGGGTGTAAAGATACTGTGATGCCTCTAGTATATTCCTTATGCTAGAAAATGGAATATAAATGCAAACATAAATCTTGTGAGTGATGTACATGGTATGGTATGCAAAAACAGAGTTGTGTCTATTGTTACAATTTTTAAAATACTTTATTATACATGCTGGAAACAAGGATTTCCAGTTTTCCAAACAAGGCCGATCTAATTGAAGCAAATGAGGCTAGGTCAGTTGAAATCAGGTCGGGCAGTGTGCATTCTCCTGATGTTGGACTATAACTCCAGCCATCTCATATCACTGAAAATACTAAGGCTAGTGAGATTGAGGTTCACTTGTTCAATTAAATTGCTTGCATTTGCTTTAAAGAGCCATTAAATTGCCCTTAGAAGATTTGCTCCCTCATAAAAATGTGAAACGATCAACTTTTATATATGCTTTCTTCATAGGCGCTAGTAGCGTGCCAGCTTTTTTTTCTGAGGATGACTCTCAGTCAAATGATACCAGTGATTCAGACAGCAGCAGCAGTCAGAGCGATGATATAGAGCAAGAAACTTTTATGCTGGATGAGCCACTGGAGCGAACAACCAGCAGCTCTCATGCCAATGGTGCAGCCCAGGCCCCCCGATCCATGCAGTGGGCTGTACGCAACACCCAGAATCAGAGGACCACTAGCACCGCACCATCTAGTACCTCCGCTCCAGCAGGTATTTCAGAAGTGGTTTTTAAAAAAATTCCTAGTCTGACATTTTCTGATTCACTAATTTTTGTTACTGTTCTTAATGTAGATGCAAATTTTTACATGGTGTAACCCTGCAGAATTGTCTTTTTACCTGTCATGTGGTGCTTCTGTTGTTTAACAGTCACTTACAAGCATTTTAAGATGGAGGTTCTGCTTTGGTATAAATACTTGGGGTTTGCTTTTGTCTATTCCTTCCTCCCACAATGCTCTTTGTTTTCTCTCCCTTTAGCCAGTTCAGCAGGCTTAATTTATATTGATCCATCCAACCTGCGTCGGAGCGGAACCATCAGTACCAGTGCAGCAGCCGCAGCCGCGGCTCTTGAGGCGAGCAATGCTAGCAGCTACCTAACATCTGCAAGCAGTTTGGCAAGGGCGTACAGTATTGTGATACGACAAATATCAGATCTTATGGGACTAATTCCCAAATACAATCATTTGGTATACTCCCAGATCCCAGCTGCAGTGAAGCTGACATACCAAGATGCTGTGAATTTACAGGTACAATGCAGTGTGCTTTCTACACACACACACACACACACACACACACACACACACACACACATACAAATCTGCCCTTCTCATTCCAACTCATATCTCCTTTTCTCTCAATAAATAGTTATTCATTTAGTCAGGATCTATTTACTTGCCTATTATTACTTTTTTAAAAAAAAATTGCTCTATATGCATCTTGCCTTGTTTTGAAATACTGGGTGGAATTTCCTCCCTGCATCACAGCAGAGAAATTCCTATAGTTCTTCCAGATGCTCTCAAGCTCTGCCAAAATAGGTTGGATCTGTACATACCAGCAATGGATACGCCCAAATACAAGCATGCACACAATGCATGAACCTAAGCCGTCCCACATGCCTATTCATTTGGCACATTCAAATGACTAGAAGTTCTCCCTCCCTCCCTCTCTCTCTCCTACTTTTCAGCTCTGCAAAATGGCACTGAAGGAAGGAAATCAAAGGCAGACTTATGTAAATAATTACAGAACTCCATGGTCTGCATTTGTGTAAAGGAAAATACACATGCTGATAGAGAGACAATTAGGCAGTCTGCTAAAGATGCTACTCATTATTAACAAGGGACATTCCTTGCACTAGGCTCTGCTCTCTAGTGCCTGCAATTTACTTAGTTTATTTCAGTCTTCTCCCATTCTCCAGCCAGTTTTGCAAACCTATTTTGAAAACTTCTGGAAACTTCAGTCTTAAGATCTTTCAGTCAGAATGATTGAATAACAAAGACCGCTGGATAAACATTTCCAGCCATTGTTGTTCTTTTGCTATTTTGCACTCCTGATGCATTTCAAAGGTAAAATCCTAGCAGGAGGCTTATACTTGTGTGTGCCTGGGGTGCAAGAGGGGAACTGAAAACCTGGCATGGATTTCAGACTGGTTTTCTGGTCCAAATTTAAACTGCAGTTAGAAATTCCTTATACTTCTTTCCAATCTCTGGTTTCTTGGTTGGCCAAAAACATGATAAATGTCTGCTTGTAAATCAGGAAGTTAATAAAAGGAAAATTTAAGAAGCGATTCAGTGCTTCCAGAAACGTAAAAATAAATATTATTAGGAAAATTATCTACCTGTATTATTTGTATGTAACAAATGGGCAATAATAATGTTTTTAGAATTACGTTGAAGACAAACTGATTCCCACTTGGAATTGGATGGTGAGCATTATGGACTCCACTGAAGCTCAGCTACGTTATGGATCTGCACTTGCCTCTGCTGGAGATCCTGGCCATCCAAACCATCCTCTTCATGCATCACAGAACTCAACCCGGAGAGAGAGGATGACAGCACGTGAAGAAGCTAGCCTAAGGACTTTGGAGGGTAGACGGTATGTTAACAATTGTATGTTTTTTAAAAAAATCCTATAAGTAATATGCTTGTGCCAAAAAATTCAGAGCAGCAATTTATATTTGGACGTATTTTATTTATAGTGTGGTCATATTTATGTAAATTAAGTGATAATATTTTGGATTTAACCATGATTTTTTTAAAAAAAACCAGCAATTGTAGAACTGTAGAATTGTAATACTTATTATAATTGCAGGCGTGCTACATTGCTCAGTGCTCGACAGGGGATGATGTCTGCAAGGGGAGATTTCTTGAATTACGCCCTCTCCTTGATGCGTTCCCACAATGATGAGCATTCTGATGTTCTTCCAGTCTTAGATGTCTGCTCATTGAAACATGTAGCCTATGTCTTTCAAGCTCTCATTTATTGGATTAAAGCAATGAACCAACAAACAACTTTGGATACGCCTCAGCTGGAACGGAAGAGGTAGAAACCAGATCAATAATAGACAACTAGCTAGCTGAGCAGCAAGTTGTGTTTTTTCCTCTATCTTTCCTTAAGATTAAATATATATTTTAGGATATATCATGCATTTGTGGCAGATGTACATAATTATATTTTTATAAGATTACAGGTGCAGTTAATTCACAAATAAGGCAAGAATCTTTCCCATTATATTGAGATTTTTGAGAAACTCATAATTGTACCACCTTTAAATTGCTTATGCATAGGTTTTTCATTTGAAAGTAGAATATTTCCTGGAATTCTTAGGTTACAGTTGTAATCCACTTTCTAATAATTATGGCCAATCAGCTTTGAAATACTGATTTTTGGTTTTATTGTTCTAAGTTGCTACAAGAGAGATCTGATAGAGCTTGCTAAATTTTACTCTTGGCTAGTTAAAATGGAATCTTTTTTTAGGACTCGAGAGCTTCTGGAACTTGGCCTGGACAATGAAGATTCTGAACATGAAAATGATGATGATACGAATCAAAGTTAGTATTAATATGGCCTGGGGAGAAGAGAAAATGAATGGAGGCTTAATTATGCCTCACATGCCTTAAGGATTTGTTTTGAGGCTGAAGAATCTTATTATTAAAATTAATGCATTATTTTTTAGAAATAAATGCAATAAATAAATAAATTAGAAATAAATTGTTTTCGAAAATACTTTAATTATTCCATTTAGCATAATAGAATTACATTTCAAGAATAAAAGCAGTCATAATGTATTGTCATTTTTGCATAAGTATTGAGACACATTAATGTAGTGAAGCAAATTTTGTTGTTTCACTAAAGGAAAAAACACTTTTTAATAGAGAAAAAGTATATTAAGTATTTCTATATGGGATGTTTTGCGCAAATACAGACTGACACATTATCATTTAGCAACCAAACGTAATTTCCAGGTATCTGGCTTTCAAGTAGTAATGGAAGATTGTTGTCTCCTACATCCTCATTTACTGATTTGGATTTTTTTCCTTTTGGAAAGAATAATATTAATATGCATGGATGAGCATCTTAATATGCTCCTTGACTAATCTCTCTTTCAAAAAAATAATTTTGCAGAGCATGGTGGGAATAACTTTAGGCTTAAGTTCTGCTTGTTCATGCAGAGTGTTTCTTCACTTAAAATACAGGAAATTGGAATTTCTGGGGGATTAAGCCAGAACTTTGGAAATTCAATTTCCTAGACTCCAATGTTCATAGTTTTTCTGTATTTCAAGGTTTTCCTATGAGATCAGCATCTATATTCTTAATTGAGCCTCTCACCTCTTAGAATTTGAAGAGCTCAGTTGAGTATCAGTTAGAAGTAATATGCTAGAAATAATAATATCAATTTGTCACCTGAGAGATATGTGTTCAGTATGAAAAGAAATAAGATCTTGATAGCTGTGCTTGCAGGTGATGCTGTTGTATGTTCAAACCACCCTTCGTGTTTGAAAAAAGAAAGGAGGTTATTTTGAAGAAATTTATGCCTAACAAAACTTTTTTGCATGGAAGTGGTAAAGATATGCAAGAAGAAAGAGAACTTTGTATCAAAATAGTCATGTAGTATCAGTGACTGATGATTACAAAATTAGCTATTTCCAAGTGCTCCAAAATTGAATTGTTTCCTTCCTTCACATTTCTGCTTGCCAGGTACTACACTTAATGATAAGGATGAGGACTCCCTTCCAGCTGAAACAGGCCAAAATCATCCATTCTTCCGGCGATCAGATTCTATGACATTCTTGGGCTGTATTCCCCCTAATCCTTTTGAAGTTCCTCTAGCAGAGGCCATCCCTCTGGCAGACCAGCCTCATCTGTTACAGGTAGCCTTCAACAAGAACATTTATTTGGTGTGTGTACTGCTGTTCTGGCTCTTTCCAATTGAGAGTTCAGGAACATATTGGATGACGTAAAATGACCCCCCCCCCTCCAATATAGATCTGTCATTTCGCTAGTACTTTTGTTGAAATGTGGATGGTATATCAGAATACCATTCTGATATTCTTAACAACAGTAGAAATCAAGCATATACAAGATACCTCAGCAGCAGGTCAGACAAACCAACATATATTAGTGGTTGTTTTTTTTTTACATTTACATCACTTTTGTATGCATGCTAGTTATAGCATTTTTGATGCTATCTCCAACATTCTATCTGCTTTCTTTTTGCAGACCATACTTATTAACCCATCTGCACAAAGACAAACGTCTTTAAAAGAAATGTTAGCAGCTTATCTTCCAGTCAGTTAGGCAATAGGACCTGAATGGAGAAGATTGATCCTTTTTCCTTGTATCTGTGATCTGTGTCTCGCCTGAGGATAAATTCAACACAAAATGTTTACGTGCAGTGTGTGCCCGTAGTTCAGAGCTAATGCATCCTGTTTAATCCAGATTGGTTAAGACCTGGGTGGGGGGGACCCAGCAACCTTGTTGAAGATAATTAAGCTGTGGTGGTATGATTGAGGGAGAGTGGTGATGAGGAATGTCATAAGAGAATCCCATTGCAATTCAAATGATACCAGATTGGCCAAACCAATGTGGAGTATCTTCCGGAATGAATTTTATTGAGTTGAGTGTTCCATCTTCCATCTAATTTATTCCCTTACTTTCTAGGAGGCATGCAGATGTAGGGAATCCATATTACAATTGTATATTTCATTTGTGGTTAATTAATGTCATCTATCATTAACTAGGGCTTGTGAAGTTGGCTTCAAACTGTAAATCTGCTTGAATTTATCCTTAATATTGATTCTGATGTATGACTCAACCATGGAGTGACACAGAACAAATAGCATAGGAGAAAATTTTAATAGAAATAAGATAGATATGTCAGTACCAGTACACCACCTTCTGGTTAAATGATCAGGGTGTTATATTTATCTCAGTGTTCGTACTAATACTAATAATATTCACGGATACATTGTTTTTCAGCCAAATGCTAGAAAAGAAGATTTGTTTGGTCGGCCAAGTCAAGGTCTCTATTCATCGTCTGCCAATAGTGGGAAATGTTTATTAGAAGTGACCGTGGATAGAAACTGTCTTGAGGTATGAATTTGTTACGTGTATTAAATAATTCGTACAGTCTTTTCCCCTTTCCTCTATATCTTCTTGCTATTGCTATTCTGTCGAAAAAATCAGTGTAACAGTGTGCATGTTATCCTCCTCCACTTTCAGTGAACTTCCTGCCCTTGTGAGACCCCTGCCTTGGCTTAGAAAATTAGAAGACAATTGTCTTTCTTCTTTATAATTGCTACTCTTAAGAAGGTGCTGCCGTGTTGTTTTTATCTTGGTTTTGATTCCTTTTTAAAATAATTTTATTTAAGATTGTAATTGCAATAGTAAAAACTAAGAGTAAAAGAAAGAAGAGTTTAAAAAAGGAAAAATGCAAAGGAAAAAAAATAAAGAATAGAAAGAGAGAGAAAGAAAAGTAAAAATATAGTGAAGAAAAAGAATATGTACAGAAGTGACTTCCAACCTTCATCATAAGTTAAACAATTTTAGTACATTTTCATCTCCTCTTAATTTACAACCTATGATTGCTTCATTCCATAGCCCAACTCTTTATCTATTAAAAAAAACACCCCAAAAGCATCATCATTTGAGTCCTGGTGTTATAAAAAGTCTGTTAAGATTTGTCAGAAATAATAATATATAATTTGTAACCTGGATTAAAGAACTATTCCTTGTTTATCCAAAGGATTCTAATAACTTTAAATTAGTAAATAAGCAATTTCTGAGCAGAAATTAGAAGGTATGCAAGCTTAGTATCCTTTTAAACCACATGCTGGTTTGAGTATGGCTATTTTGTCATCTCCCATAGTCAAAATCTGCTAAAGACCATTGTCTTGTAATCTCCTTGTGAGGAGCAACTTCTGGAGCACTTGTGAGGAAAAAAAAAAAAAAGTACTTTCCATCACACATTGGTTTTGATAAGTTTCAAAATGCTATTTTGAAATACTGCATGCCATTGTAGATTATGTTCAAATTGTGGTCAATTTTTAGCAACCACATAGATAAATTTTCTCCATGATGATTTGCCCCCAACCTGGTCTTTCAAGTTTTCTAATGGTGCATACATCATCCCTGTAACTGAGTACATCTATTTTCTGATCATCCTCTTCTTTTCATTCCTTTCATATTTCCCATATTTGTGTCTTGAGTGAGAACTCCAGGTTGATCTAAGCAATGATCCATTTGGTTCCCCCCCCCCACCTTAAGAAGAATTTAAATTTGCTGCTTATGCTGTCTTCACTTACCAACTGCACTTTCACTGACCCTTCAAAATTACAACAGCACTAAAACACGAGATTTATGATTAGCCCTTGAAATTGTGGCTGTTGCACTGTCCCAGCAATCAAAGATGGTGATTTGTGTCCTTGTGGTGTCCTGAAGTCACATGGTTGCCATTTGAGATCTTTATAGCAGGCTTCTGGCTAGCAAAGTCAATGGGGAGACCATTAGTAAATCCAAAGTTATTGCAGAACATTGCACTTAACAAAGACTGCCAGTAGTGCTGAAGTGACTTAATCAAACTGGGCATGGTCACCTGACACTTCATTTAATGATTGTGTCACTTAATGATAGAATTGTTGGTCCCAACTGTGGTTGGTCCGTGGGGACTTTAGGCAACTGAAATTTCTGATCCCACAGATTTCTTTGAAAACTCAGCACTCTTAAGTGTGATTTTTCAGAACCGTATTATCTTGAAAGCGTATGAATTATTTCAAAAGCATTTTAATATCCTTTTCAATTAGGTTCTTCCAACCAAGATGTCCTATGCAGCCAATTTAAAAAATGTGATGAGCATGCAGTATCGGCAGAAGAAAGAAGAAGAACAAAATGTGCCATCAGAAGAATCCGAAGGTTCAAAGCCGGGGCCGTCAGCACACGATCTTGCAGCACAACTGAAAAGCAGTTTATTGGCAGAGATTGGGCTAACTGAAAGTGAAGGACCTCCTCTAACATCCTTCAGGTAACATTGTTTAAAGAAGAAGTAAAGATGTAACTTTCAGTGGGGTTACGGAAGTTGTCTGGCTGGGGGAATTCTGGGAGTTGAAGTCTGAGTTAGATGGCAAAACGAGAGAGAAAGAACAAGTGGCACCTACTCCTCCTGGGTGTCCCTATACAGCCCAGTGTGTAGTTTCAGGATTATAATAGAGACTTCTCTCTCTGCCTATTGAGGAGTTATAGGTCCTACTAACTTTCCAGTGTAGAGAACAGGTCTGCATCTTCCTGCAGCAACACACAGTTTGGGCTTGGGAGGAATTGAAATAGGTAAGCTGAAGTGAGGCATTTCTGAAAAGCAAAATAGACTTATCCCAGTATCAGAGAATTCAAGACTTAGGACAGAGAAAAAGCAGGTATGAGGATAGAGGAATCTTGAGATTCTGAAAATCACAGGATGCATATTGTGTATCTGTGGGAGTATGAAAAAGAAGGGAAAGATTATGTCTGAGGAGGAGAAGAAACATGCTTTATTATTAGGTGCCAACAGATAATCATCAATATAAAACAGCTCCCTGCCCAGTTGGTTCCCCTTCCTGTCTACATGATTAATTGGTTTTCTTGCTTTTTTAAAATAATAATGCTAAGAACACAATTTTTAGAATGGGCTTTGGAAGCAAAAGTTAAAAGAACTTATTGAATGTTCAACAACAGACTCTCCACAGTTCAGATTTGATAAGGCAAGCAATTTTGAATTGTGGCTTAGTTTGCCATTGAATTGGGTGGCAGGAATAGTACTTTTTTTAAAATATTATTCATTTTCTTGCCTGGGTTAAAACACTCCTTGATTTCATTTGTAGGATGAATGTTTCCTTAATCTTGCTAGAAAAGCAAGATATATAAAAGTGACTGCCTTCTTGATTAATTGTTTGTATATTTGTTTCATAGGCCACAATGTAGCTTCATGGGAATGGTAATTTCTCATGATATGCTGCTTGGACGTTGGCGTCTTTCTCTAGAGTTATTTGGAAGAGTATTCATGGAAGATGTAGGAGCAGAACCTGGATCGGTATGTTTTTGTTTTGTCAATTGAAGGGCCACTTGGTTGTATTGTGGGATTTTTCTTCTATTAATGCATACATTATCTTTGTAGATCTTGACTGAATTAGGTGGTTTTGAAGTGAAAGAATCAAAATTCCGCAGAGAAATGGAAAAGCTGAGAAATCAGCAGTCTAGGGATTTAACATTAGAGGTAATGAAATTGATCTTTCTTATTTTAGTTTGATTTAAAAGATGGCATGTAGTGGAATATCCTGTTTTTCATTTCAGCATTTAGGGTATAAAATTGATCTAACATCCAAAATCGTTTCAGAGAAAGTGACAGAATAGATTTCAGAATAGGTAAATTCTAGGAAGGTCCAAGAAATCTGCCAGATTTCTGTGTAAGTTAATTAGCAAGATCTGCCATAATGGATTCCGCCATATTATGGAAAGTGTTATTGAATGGAGTCACAAGCTTCTGTTTTTTTATTTTTTTGAAGTAAGTAATCTGCGTTTGCACACACATAGCATTAAAACAAGTTAGCAAAAAGAAAAAATGTGTTAGAAAAAGAATTTGGGGGGATTTATATCACAAACTACACATGTATACAAAAATTCTGTATGTCAGAAAAAAATACCAATAAAAGTTGTAAAATTATTAATTTTTTAAAATAAAAACTTGATACACTAAAATAATATTCTATATTAAAGGACAGTAAAACAGTGATCTAGCCATCCAAAACATAGCTGAAAGCCGGTTTAAGTCAGTGAGATGATAGACTGTTGATCATAATGCCACTGAGACTACATGAAATCTGGTTTTGTAGGGTTGTATGTGTGTATTTTGGTTAAAAATTGGTTAGGATGCTAATTAAATTAGAAACTCTGAGGAAGGTGGACAATGAATAAAACACATCAGCGTAAATCTCTCAAGCCATATTTTTCAGTTCATCAAGAAATACCAGTCTACAATATCAAAAGACCATTTAGATGCTATCAGGAAACCCAAACATTAGCTAAGTTGCCAGGTGGTATAATAGCCAGTATTAGGACTTGGCTGAACCTTCTAGAACAAGAATGCTACAGTTAAGAAGTCCATTTCTCCCATTTCCATATAATACATATAGCTCTCAATAGTGAGAAGCAAAGAAGAGCTTACTTGGCGAGCTATTGAGTGATGTACCATATTTTTCGGAATTTTTTTTCCCTCCCCCCCCCCCCAAAAAAGGCTGAAAATCTGGGTGCGTCTTATACACTGAATACAGCATTTTTGCCTCCCGAAACCCCACCCCCTTCACCAAAATGGCAGTGCATAGCCTTTAGGAGCCTTGCAGAGTGCTCCTGGGGGCTAGGGAGGGCAGAAATGAGCGAAAAACGGGCTGTTTTTTGCTCAATTTTGCCCCTCTTCCAGCCCCCAGGAGCACACTATAAGCTTCCTAAAGGCTATACATACTCTTTTTTTGACAAAAAAGGCCCATTTTTGCTTGTCTTTTGGGAGGGCCACCACCCAGGAGCACTTTACAAACCATCTAAAGGTTATTCATGCCCTTTTTTGAAAAAAAAATGGGCCTTTTTTTTTTTTTTGCAAAAAAACGGGTCATTTTGGGGAGTGCAAAAACTTTTTTTTTTTTTTAAATTGCTTCTTCAAAACCTAGATGTGTCTTATACTCTGAAAAATACGGTATATATAGAGATAATTGCTGTCTTGAATATCAAAACCCCAACTTATTTAGAGCTTTAAATATCATTGCTAACACCTTGTAATGGATCTGTATTCTATTGGAAACCAGAATAGTTTAGATAAAATTGGTGTAATGTGCTTCATGTATAATATTCCCTATAGTAGCTGAGCCACTTTGTTCTATGCTACTTCCAGATTTCAGATCTGAGAATAGAGAGCCAGTTAAGGCACCAGGCTGGAAAGTGGGAGACTATGAGCTCTAGTCCTTTCCTTAGCCATGAAAGCCTGATGGATGTCCTTGGATTAGTCACTCTCTCTCTCAGCCCAATTCACCTCAAAGGATTGTTGTTGTGGGAAAAATAGGAGGAAAGTGTGTTGGATATATTTGCTGCATTCAGTAATTAGTAAAAATAATAAAGGCAGGATAATATATGTGTGTGTGTGTGTGTATACACACACACACACACAAAAGCCCTAGTCAACAAATGAGCCCCACCCACCATCCAGGCCGTTACAACACGAAACAACAATGTACACACAGCCAGCACCAATCAACACCAATCTACCAATCATAATACAACCACAATCACTCCATTTACTGAAACAAAGCCAGTACTCCATACCCCCCCACCATTTATAGAAAGACGACAGCTCCGATCACACTTTAAGCCCAAAACCCAGCCTGAAGATGGTGAGTGAGACCTCGCTGAAACATTGCCAAGACAATCTCAATCTTACATGGGAAAAGACCCGAATACAACAAGACCAGCATATCTACACCCATGAAAATCTACAAAAACACACACACAAACACACACACACACACACACACACACACACACACACACACACACACACACACACACACACACACACACACTTAGTGTCACAACCCCTGGTATGCCCCAATTATGGGAGGAAGCTAACTGCTTCCATTCTCTGTCCATCGGCTCATCACAAGAGACCATCAATATATATAAAATTGATTCTCAGCTATAGACTTTGGAAGGATCAAGCAAACCAAAAAGTTCCAACTACATGTACATAGTAACTCAGAATAATTGAATCAATATGTGACAGTCTCAATTGAGGAAAAGTTAGATGGATTTGGGGTATTTCAAAATGTAGTTTTTATTATATTTCCTTCATTGATTTTGCTAAATGGTATCTTGGGAGAGCCTAAGCTAAGGAAATTTGTTGTTCATCCTTAATAGCACTGATTTCTAATATTTTAAAATATAATTTCCTGACATGATATTTATTATTTCACTACATGACTTTTTATGTTAAAGAAAAATACTGAAAGAGTACTAATGATACAGTTTTAATATCATTTTGAATCTGATATCACCGTAGTGATCTTCTAACTCATATTCCTCTGATTCTTTTACTGAAACAGCTCATGGACAGCTGATCATTCTTATTACAGTCATAACAACTTTCTGAATAATTGGTGAAATGGTGCTGCTGAGAGATGTTATTGGGCAGACTTTGAGAGGGAGTGTAGTCATATGACACTAGTGTTTGTTCTTCCTTTTTCTTCAGAGGTTTAAACTCTTATTCTGATATGTCTGCTAGGTTGATCGGGATAGAGACCTTCTGATTCAGCAAACAATGAGGCAGCTCAACAATCACTTTGGTCGAAGATGTGCTACCACTCCAATGGCTGTCCATAGGGTAAAGGTTACATTTAAGGATGAACCAGGAGAAGGCAGCGGTGTGGCACGAAGCTTTTATACTGCTATTGCACAAGCCTTTTTGTCAAATGAGAAACTGCCAAATCTGGATTGTATTCAAAATGCCAACAAGGGGACACATACAAGTAGGTATCTCAAAGAATATGATTTATATGTTATTTAACATGTATGCATTTGCCAAAGAGAAGGAAAAAGGTTATGCTGTAGTCTAGTAAGATGTTTTAATGGTCAAAAGTAAGAGTCTAAATTGTGTAGTAATATTGTTCTGCACACTTGATACAAATTGCCCTATGTGCACACAAAAACAAAATCTTACTTGTAGAATAGAATGCAGTTTTCTGCCTAATCAGTTATAGAAGAAAGTTACTAAATAGGGTTAATAGGAAGGAATTGTCAGAATTTCCCCATATTTCACGCGTATTGTTTTGAAATAAAAGGGGCACCCCTCTGTTATGCCCCCATCGCAGTCTGAATCCGAGGGGGAAGACAAACAGCTGACAGAGAGCAGGAGAGTGACTCTGTTGGCTGTGGAGGAAACTGGGGAAGGGCAAAGTCAGGGTAGAGCAGGAGAGAGGTAGAACAAGGGAGAGGGGGTTCAGATGAAGACCAAGGCCCACCCCCTCCTCATCCTAGGGCACACAGGGAAGAACAGAGAAGAGTAGCTTATGAGGGAGAAAAGGGCCCCGATTCCCTTCACAAGGCACACTTGGGGATGGAGATTAAAGGAGATGCAAATGGGAGGGGCAGTTGTCGAGAACACACACTGAGTTCATCTGGTGTTAACTGTTTATCTGAGTTCCTGGCATCCTCCCAACTGGTTTGTTTTACTGCCGTGCTACTTCACTTTTGGAACTCCTTATCTTGCTTGCCCTATCGGATTAATTACCTTATCTTGCCTTGTTGGATTTATAGTTGGAAGTTTTCTGCTTACAACATTTGGACTGGAGTATTTTGAGCCAAAGGCAGTTACAGGTTTGTGGAAGACCTTTTTTCCAGGTCGGAGAGTTGAAAGGGACATTGGGGGCACAGTTGGGGGCACAGTTGGACTCATACTGGTTCTCTGGTTGTGTTGCCTTTGTGCCATGTCCTGGATCATCACACACTCTGTTACTAACAGATTTATTAATAACATTCAGCATAGAAGAAATACCAAAGGAAGAATAAGGAAAAAGAAACAATGTTATGTAGGGAAATATAATATTCTATTCTATTTCAGTTGCATGTATTTGGGCCTACCATCCATTTAGAAATTGTTTGAAGTTAGAGTAGCATTGGAAAAAATGTGAGGACTGACATATGTCCAGTCCTCACATTTTAACTGTCACAGCATCGTCACAATCACATAATAAAAATTTGGGTGCTTGGCAACTGGCATGTAGTTGCAACAATTGCAGCATCCCAGTGCCGTGTGATTGCCATTTGTGAATTTCCCAGCTAGCTTCCAAAACACAAAGTCAATGGGAAAAGTCACCTTTCTATAACAAAAACACGATATACTTAACAACTGCAATGATTGGTTAACAACCATGGCAAAAAAAGGTTGTAAAATTGGGCACGATTAACTTAACAACTACCTTGCTTAGCAACAGAAATTCTGGTCCCAGTTGTGGTTATAAGTTGAGGACTAACTATATTGTAAAGGCCTTGAGAATTAATAATACTTTGAAGCAAGGAAGGATTCACAAATTCTCTTGCAGTGTATTATATTTTTTGAACTAGGATAAAAGTCTTCTAAAATGTTGCTTAGAATGGGGAGGTAAAATTAGATGAAAAATTGTTATTGCATCAGTTCTTAAACCTTTTGTAGAAAGCTTCCAAACTTAAATTTTGTATTCTTCTTCCTCTCACAGTTCATAATTCTTTGTATTAGTTATGATTCTTATAGGAAAACCTCTGTACAAACTTGACTGTCTCTTCAGGTCTAATGCAGAGATTACGGAACAGAGGGGAGAGAGATCGAGAAAGGGAGCGGGAGAGAGAAATGAGGAGAAATAGTAGTGGGTTGCGAACTGGTTCTCGAAGAGACAGAGACAGGTAAGTTGTCCCCCTAACATATAAATTTTGCTCAGAGAATTTTCTGATGTTAATTTCTAGTAATAGGGAGCAGGATAGGACTTAAGAGCAGGGTATAAATAACTCTCTAAAACATCTTACAGAATCAAGGATTCAAACATAAATAAGAGGTTCTGTCTTGCATTGAAGTACAAACAAAAGGTGGGAGCAGAGACTGATGTCCTGTCCCTTTAACAGAACAAAAACCTCATTTTTATTTTTATTTTCTTAACACAGTCCCACAATTCAGTATCTTGGTCGTATGGGGAACAACAATAATTTCTGATAAAGAACGTTTGTGTGTGTGTTTTAAAGGGATTTCAGGAGGCAGCTGTCCATTGACACCAGACCTTTTCGACCTGCATCTGAAGGAAATCCTAGTGATGACCCCGATCCTCTTCCAGCACATCGACAGGCCCTGGGTGAAAGACTTTATCCCCGTGTACAAGCAATGCAACCTGTGAGCTTGCGCCTCTCTACTTGGGGAGGGCATTATTTTTTTCTTTTTTTAGAAAATATTCTAACCTGTTTTATTTGAGGGTTTTATAGTCTTTGCCTTAGTTTGTCCTTGGATGTTTCATAATTGGTGTCAAACATACTATTATAACAAGACAGCTTAATATGCCACAATCTGTAGTAGAATATATTTATTTAATGAATGTATATAGCTATAATATAAATAATCTTAGACCTTGGACAATATAAATAAAACAATTGTGCATGTATAAAAAAAGATCCACGTTTGGACGAGCTTCATCTTTTAATAATTAGGTCAGCATTCAGTGCAAGGATTGTGTTATCTTATGAGTAACATGTAACATGTAGATAACATGCCTCCTCTGGGCAAGACCCAAGATCACTCCCATACCAACCTACCTGCCATCCCTTTTTCTGAATGCCAAGTTAATGGCTATTAAGTTTGAAAAAGCCTCCCATTAAAATAAATTTCTGGGTTAGCATGGATCTTGTGAATATTGCTGTATCTAAGAACAGAATAGACTGGTAGATTTTAATTAGCATTGTGACTGTTTGTGGCATGTATCCTCGGAAAAGGCTCCAGTTGGAAATCTGGAGGGAATAGTTTTCATTATTGCTTCACAAAAAATCAGAAGGGTTGAGAAGGATGGCTGTAAGATAAAACTGGAAACAAGCAAACCTAAATATAGAAGCATTGATAGATAACTAGAAAAAATCGAAGGCTGGAACAGAATTTTTTCTGAGTCTGAATGTGTTAGATTAATTTGCTTATTGGGCTCTTTTTTGTGATTGGGATAAACCCCAGAAAAATAATTCTTCTACATTTTCCATATTATTTGAATTCAGAATAAATTATATTTTACTATCTGGATTTGCCCTTCCTATGTCTGGAACAGAAATTTCCTGGGGTCAAATCCCATCCCATTTATCCTGTGGTTCTCTACCAATAATTTTAACATATTGGGAAGCAGACAGGTAGCAGATTTTTTTTCTGCATAACTAGAATAATAATTAGGTGGAGGGAAAAAGTGTAAGCATTGGAAAATAAATATAAATTACATCTTTTCAGGCATTTGCAAGCAAGATTACAGGCATGCTATTGGAATTGTCACCTGCACAGCTGCTTTTGCTATTAGCAAGTGAAGATTCCCTTCGAGCAAGAGTGGATGAGGCTATGGAGCTCATCATTGCACATGGGAGGTAATTTAATATTCATGAGAATTAAAATATGCACGTGAATTTCAACTATGGTAACGATTAGCTAAAAGTTCCTTAAGCCAAGGTTACCTCCTCCATATTTATAAAGCTTACCTCCTCCATATTTATAAACAAATGGCTGAAAATTCATCCCAAATTTTGGACACATCATCTACTATTACACAAAATTTTGGATCTTTTTGATAGTGGAAGGGTCTCTTTTTTTCTATCATAAGGCGCAACCACAGCATGCAAAAATGATGAAATTGTGACATTGTGACACAAACTCTTCTTGTTATGTACTTGGGTGCAGTGTGTAGCACAAGTGCAGAAAGGGCAACATTTGTTCACAATCTGTTTTATTGTCCTCTTGCCTTCCCCCTAGCATCTGTGTCTACTAGTTTGTGTTGTGGCTATGTTTAGAGATTCCAAAGAGGGTCTTTGAAATTTCTGCAAGAAATGGAGAACGCTTGTAGGTATGATAAGTATATGAATAGTGCAGTTTCTGCTGATTGCTGCTTTGCTTTCCTCTATCTGTAAACATTATATTGGCTCAATGTAATTGATTTTTATTCTTTTCAAAGGGAAAATGGAGCTGACAGCATTCTAGACCTTGGCTTGTTGGATTCTTCTGATAAAGTACAAGTAAGAAACATCTGTAGACAATGCCTTTATTAATTTACTGTTTAAAGATGTCTCAAATACCTAAAATAGAGAAATTCATTTCCAAGAAGATTTTTTTAATTCACATTCATGAGACCAGAAATCATATGTATTCCCAGAGTCAACAAATTAAATAACCATAATAATTAAATTAATTTAATTTAATAATAATTAATTAATTATTAATTAAATAACCAAATAAAAGAATCTCTCAAATTCCATGAAGCCACGGCAGTTGGTGTTCTGAACAAGAGAGACTACATGCAGCATATTATCACAACTTGCTCTTGCAATACTTACAGCCTCAATTTTGTCATGGAAATTGATCATACAGCTAGTCCTCATTTAGTGATTGCCTCATTTAGGGACCATTCACATTTTGGGCAGTGATGAAACAGTAACTTTATGATCAGTCGTAACATTTACAACCTTTGTAGATCTATAAAACAAAGGAAAACTGAAATAAAATTATAAGCGCAATTGACATGTCACTTAGTCGCTGCTTAATGATCAAGTTTCTTGTCCCATTCATGGTATTAAATGAGGAATATCTGTAACAAGTTTCTATGCCCAGCAATGGTTTCATTTACTTAGTCTTATACCTGAGAAACAGGTGGCATAAGATTAGCTGTTTTCCCTGTTAAGATGAAAAAATTGTATCTGGATTGAATACATAGTGAACTCATTCAGACAACACTTTTCTTCTTAGTTTCATTTCACAGTATTTTGCATGCTACCTCTTTACAAATTATTGTTCATTTGTTCTTTCCTTATGTTGAATTGATGAGAGCGTACAAGCCTAAACCTTTTTTTTTTGCATATCTGAAAACTAGTTATTAGAAAGAAATTAGACTATTCCTTTTAGTTTTTATTTGCTTGAAGAGATGACACGAACAAAACTAAAGCAGAGTCCATATTTTAGAAACTGCTAGATAACTACATAGATGTACTGGTATATTATTAGATTAGCATTTGTTTAAATCACCTTTTTGAATGGCATATTTTGAATATATAGTTCAGTACTAAAGAAGTCAGTTTTTATTTCTATTGTGTGTTTCTTTTAAAAAGGAAAATAGAAAACGACATGGTTCTAGTCGTAGCGTTGTGGACATGGAATTAGATGATACAGATGATGGTGATGATAATGCACCACTGTTTTATCAACCTGGAAAACGAGGTTTTTATACACCGAGGCCAGGCAAAAATACAGAAGCCAGACTGAATTGCTTCAGAAATATCGGCAGGTAAAATATCCTCTAGATGAGTGAATTGCTTTCAGAGAGAAAAACAATTTGAAATGTATATATGACAGTAAGTGTAATAAGATAGGGATTTTCAACCAAAATTTGAAAATAATGACTCTTTTGTTTCTTAATACTTCTATTTTGATATTGTTAGCAGTTTTCTGTTAAAATATTAACTGCTTTCTACTGATTTTCAGAATTCTAGGGTTGTGCTTGCTGCAAAATGAACTATGTCCGATTACATTAAATCGACATGTAATAAAAGTTCTTCTTGGCAGAAAGGTAAGCATCTCTTAGTGATTTAGTATAGGGCTGCTGCATTATGTGATTAAATTTGTCTTCAGCTAAAAATGTAAGGCATTGCTCCCATGACATCCATCCTTCTGTTTAAAATGTATGTTCCCTTCCTTACTATCAGATACTTTTCTGGATAAAGGTAATAATATTTCAAAAACCTCCATTTCGGGTATAATGCAGAACTACATATAAGATATCAAGTGATTTTTTTGGTAGATCATTATAGTTTGTCTCCTAAATCTTTCATTCATAATCTTCTAAGCAGAAGTGTCATCAAACAACTAAAATAAGCCATTATTTTTAAAACAAAGTAGAATTCCAATTTTAGCCTGCTGGAGGTCACAAGGTCAGTTGGTCATAAACCCAAATTAGATGTAACAATCCGTTTGAGAACTAATCTATGCCCATATACTCCACCTTTTGTGCTTATATTGTGATTTATTTAACTTTTTGATCAGGTAATAGAAATGTTGTTCTTAAAATAGATATGAGAATAATAGTTGTAAAATCTTGCAAAAGTTCCAACGATAAGCTTACCTGTACAGTGGAACATGAGTAAATGTTTGATGATTACTTTTTACTTTCAGGTTAACTGGCATGATTTTGCCTTTTTTGATCCGGTTATGTATGAGAGTTTACGGCAACTCATCCTCGCTTCCCAAAGCACAGATGCTGATGCAGTTTTTGCAGCAATGGACTTAGCTTTTGCGATAGACCTGTGCAAAGAGGAAGGTGGAGGACAGGTAGGCCCAAACTACTGTGGGTAATGTTACTTCCTCAGAATCTCTCTTAATGTTAACATCAATAGATACTTCAGTAATTTTAGTGACAAATGTAAGCAAGACTAAGATGAGTTGTGAATAAGTGATGGTTACAAAGCCTTTAATAATATTTTAAAAATAATTCTGTGTTGCATTATTTTTCTAGGTTGAACTTATTTCCAATGGTGTAAATATTCCAGTCACTCCTCAAAATGTGTATGAATATGTCCGTAAATATGCAGAACATAGAATGTTAGTAGTTGCAGAACAACCTCTACATGTAAGTGATGTGAAATCTTCTTGGAATTTGATGCACTTTTTCTTAGTATTGTTCTGTAATCTGTAAAGAAATATTGTTGAATGGATAGATACAAACTTTTAAGCCATCTATGAAATATCACATTTCATAAAACATCCAGAAAATCTGTCGCAGAAATACTTCTCTTAGCATCAGCAGTATATCTGTATGAAATTTAGAATTAGCATAGTAAATACTGTTCTTCCTCCTGATCCATTATGAATAAAGGTGAACAAATCTGCCAATTTCCCATTTGATTCTTAATTTTTCTGCTATTCTGTTTCTGGAAAAAAATTGTACTTATTCTCAGTTAAATTTGGATTGGCCTTGATAGCTGAACCAAAACTTGTTGTAAATAATATTCTGCTTCTCTGTGAGCCCAGTTTCCCAGAGTAGCTCTCTTGAGGCTGAGGACAATTCCAGCTGGTCCCTTGATTCCAGAACATAAAATAGTTAACTTCAGGTAAATATGCAGAGGACATCACACACACCCCTCTCTACTTTATCTCTGGGTCTGGATGACGTGAAGCAAAGGATTACTCTGGGAAGGTGTTGCTGCAGTTTGTGACAAGAACTTGTGTATCACAGCAAGGAATCTTGAATTGCATTGTAACCCAGGAGTGTACAATTGAGTGCTAAAATTCTGTTTCGGGTGGCTTTTTCAGGCAATGAGGAAGGGTCTATTGGATGTACTCCCAAAGAATTCATTAGAAGACTTGACAGCAGAAGATTTCAGGCTTCTAGTCAATGGATGTGGTGAAGTTAATGTTCAGATGCTAATCAGCTTTACTTCTTTCAATGATGAGTCAGGTATAATATATTTTGATTATAAGTTGCACCATAATAAAATTCTGATCAGCTTCTTTGCATATTGATTAAAAAATAAAATGTTTTACAAGTGATATAGGGTTATCCAATGTTGTATAAGCTGGCCTATTCCATTCCTCTAGAGAAGATGTGAAAGGGATCTAGTGGGAATATGTTCAGTCACTTGTGCCCATTCTTCTGGTGGATGGAAACAGTTGTGTGTAATCCATACATACTAGTACTTCTGGATTGTAATTATCCTGTGCCCACTGGGGAACCTCTTCACAAATTAAAAATGATAATTATTTCTTTCAGATACAATTTTTGGAATTTTTGAAAATTTGAGATCACTTGCTTAATGCAAAATATAATTTATAATGAACATTGTATTACTGACCAACTAAAGAGTAGTTCTGTTGAATCATACTATTTCGGTAGCATTTAATACATGATTTTGATATTCTTTCATTTCATTTTGAATAGGAGAAAATGCTGAGAAACTTCTGCAGTTTAAACGATGGTTTTGGTCCATAGTAGAGAAGATGAGTATGACTGAAAGGCAAGATTTAGTAAGTATTATTTCTTTTCCTTGGAGCATACCTTTTGAGTAATTGTTAAATTCCTTTAATGCTTTGAAAAGTTAAAAAAATATTATTCTCACTTACATATTATTATCCAGTTTTTTTCTCATGTTGACATATCCCATATGCTTCGGGTTTAGAATTTCTTTAATATGAAATCCTGAGATAACATTGCAAACTTTTGAAAGTGTGGGATTTTGAATAGCTATTTGAGATATGATATGGAATTTTCCATGGAAAGTGAAAAAATGTAAATGACATATATCTAGTCCTTGGAAATACTTTCTAGGCCAGGTCTCTAGAGATTAGATTAGTTGCTCACAAAAACTAATAGTACAGTGTAGCAATAAATCTGTGGCGTTTTCACCTGAATATTACCCGCATTACTTGAATGTTTACCAGTAAAAGGTTTATAAGACGAGATTTTACATAAATCTTTGTTAAAATTAAATATGTTAAGAAATTGGTAGGTGTTCATTTTAATGTCACTTTATACACCTCTTGGGGTTAGGACAGAAATATTAACAAAAAGTGAGATAGATGAAAAAATGTTAATATAAAAATATGTGTTGTTTGCAAGATACTATCCATATATATTTGTTACATGATATGGAATGATTAATATCAAAATTGAGTATGAATTTATTTATTTTAACATGTTTTTTTTAACGGATCTTAGGTCTACTTTTGGACATCTAGCCCCTCATTACCTGCTAGTGAAGAAGGATTTCAGCCTATGCCATCCATCACAATAAGACCACCAGATGATCAACACCTTCCTACAGCAAACACATGTATATCACGCCTTTATGTTCCACTTTATTCTTCTAAACAGATTCTTAAACAGAAGTTACTACTCGCCATTAAGACCAAAAATTTTGGTTTTGTGTAGACTATTAAAAAAAAGTGTGTATTGCTGTATAATTATTACTAGCTAGATTTTTTGTAGAGTTTCCATTTGTCCATAAAAGTTTATGAAAGTTAATGCTGTCATGCCCCCTCCTGCTGCTGGTACTGCAAAGATAAAATGCAACATTCCCAAACAAAGTTGGTAACCCAAGGGCTGAAGAAGCACTGGCGATGTTAGATTGTGATCATTTGCTAGTCATTAACTTCTTGGCCAAATCCAGCCAAAGATGACAGCAGAACAATATAAATTACACTGTGATTTAACTTTTTGCAAAAGGGGTAGAAATATGTCAAATGTTCTTAAAAAAATAATAATTCACTGCTGCCTTTCTGGAAAGTGTTTCAGCAAAGGTGCTTGTATAGAGGGAATAGGAAATTTCAAAATAAAAGATGAAGTATGTCCTGTGGTTTATTTTAACTTTTTTTAAAAAAAAGAAAAAGAAAAATGGTGTTTAAGTTTGTGGTTGGCTGCAGTTGTGCATCATGTATATTGAACTTGTAAAAAGTTCTTGCCAGTTAGAGCTAAGAGTTGAAATCATTCACGTTTGCTTACAAAAACCACTGCCATTGCAATTTTGTCTGCTTGCACTGGACTCTGGCACAATAAATACCACCATTAATGTTTTGCATGTAGTCTGTATAACCTTAGTGAGATTCTTTTTGTACGTAAGAAGGAAGCCAATGCACAGTATTTAATCGTTTACAATCAACATTTTGTATCCCTCTTTCTTTGAGCAGTCAGTTAGGAGGCTTATACCTCCAGCTCAAATCCAGACACTTGTTCTGCTGTGTCTCAAGCTGGTTAAATTTTCAGCCTGGGCACTACCTGGTAACTGTAAAATGTTTATAAGATCATGATTATTTGAAGGTACATTTTGGAAAAAAAAATTTAATGTTCGTGAGCAGCTTAACTACTTTTGTATCTAGCCTTTTTTAAGTATCTTGTTACAGTTTTTAATAAATTACAGTCATACTGAAAAAAAATAGTTTTTATTTATGTGAACTGTATATTTTAGTTGCTACTGCACACCACAGTTATCTATTAAGTTATTTGTAAGTGAATAAAACTACTCTTCCTCTTCAATTAAAATAGAATCAGTTCAGTCTGCATTTTACAGTTAGCAGAAAAGTTAAAGATTGCCTGATCCAACAAAGTATATAATCTTTTCATCATATATCGCTTACTCAGCACAAAAATGTTTGCCAAATGCAATGTGGTGCACATACAAAATGCTATTTTTATTAAAGCATTTTAGTGCACAACATTTCAGTATATTAAGATCCTACTTAGTTGAACACTAACATATTGTAGGAAAGAGGAAGATTCTTTTTTAATTTTATGCTTACCATCTCATAGTCAGGAATTCCTTATAATTCGTTAACTCTTTTTTTCTGTGGGGTTTTGGCAGGGGGTAGGGGGAATTGCACATCATTAAGAACTTGCCTGAATTTCTGCCAAAATGGACCACCTCTTCTCTTTCACGCCTCTTTCTGCCTTAGCTTGAAAATAGCATCCTGCTTCTGTAAAGTATCTATTGTTTTGGCAGGCACTCTAGTAGTGTAAATCCTAACTGTAACCTCTTTTAAATAAAGACTGAAGACTGTTCTCTTAAAAGCTGACTGTGCCAGGCTTACTCAGTTTTTAAAAAAATTAAATAGCAGGTGCTTCATTTATTCCCCTTGCACATTTTGATGAAATCATTCTTTCTGAATGACAGCCCTTTTAAGGATAAGGATGGAGTTTTTCATGTTTGGTGTAGAATTCAGGTTCTGTTTTTGAATTTGCTACTTGGCTTATAGCAAGTTTCATAATGTCTGAGCCTCTTGCATTCTGTAATTTTAAAAAATGCTACCTACCTCTCAGAAGAGTTGAGGCATAATAAAGTTAATATTCTCCGAAGCCCTTTTAGGAAAGGCTGTGTATATTGTAAAATATTGTTATATATAACCTGTGTATATCTAGTATATCCCTGTTATATGTATAGCTCTGTATATAACACAATTGTTATACAACAGTCACAGCAAAATACATTACAAAAATTTATAAGGCCTATACAGTAGCGCGCGTGTGTGTGTGTACACACACATGTACACAAACAATACTTTGTTGTTACTCTAATGCCAAGGGGAAAGCTAGAATGATTGATGTTGTAGTCATTGACTCAAAATGTGTATGTAGCTATATAAATAGCTTTTCTCTGTATATTTGAACATTATCAAGCTTTTAATAAGAAATGCTTATTAAAATTGTACACCGCATTACTGTGTGGCTTAAATTAGTTTCTTTTAAATATATGGCAAGAAAAATCATAGGAAAGTTTTCCAATAGTGTCTTGAATTTTACCTAACTTTTGATAATCATATTCTTTTAAAAGCTGGATTTTGGTTACTTTTTTCCCTCAGAAGTTACCGAGCTGAATGGGCTTGAAATCATGGCAATTGAGTTGTTATGGTAACCCTCTAAAGTCCTCTGGGACTTTCTTGATCCATGGAACCTCAGTTCTGTAATAAGATGTATGATATTTTGGTAATTGGATAGTCACTAACTATGAAATCAACCCAAATAAGAAATGATATGTGCCCCAACAAATTATGGTACCTTCAGAATTTCTTACTTTATGTTGCCCACAATTTAGCCTTTTGGACTAATGTTAATTTGAGACAAAGCAAGGTTATTCTGTACATCTGTTAATTAGCACCATTGTCTATTGATCAGGCCAGCTTTTTAGTTTTGCAAGAAACAGATTATAAAATAGCGAAGCATATGAAGATTTATAAACAATTAAAAATCTTATTTAATCTGGTTGTTAGCACTATATGTTTAACTTGGCATACATGCCAATAATACTATTTGTCAGAGACAGCATTAGTGTTGCCACTTGTTCTAGTTAAAATTTCAGAAGATGGAAGCAGCTGAAGATCTAGCCATCAAGCTAGTTTGTGGGTAATCCTTTAGACACTATATCCTAAATTTTGTTATGCTTTATAAGTAAACTGACAAGCAAAATGAGGTATTTAAGCCCCTGAAAGGACTTAATTGTAGCAATAGGAGACATACTTTTTACAGTTAGTTTTTTGCTTGCTATGTTTCATTACAATAAGAAAAGTTTTTTTTTGTCTGTAAGGCTGCAACTGCTTTACAGAACTGTCTTCTCTTCTGGATAATAGGGAAAGCTTTTTTTTCTCTTCTCTTAAGTATGCCAGGATGTTCTTTGAAGATTTGCCTATGTCTGGGCTCTCATTCAGTATGATGTAGAGATTGAAGCTCTTCAGACTAAGATTGGAGACATCTAGGTTTAAATCCCTTATGGAAATTTACTGAATAGCTGGGAGAGTTACTCTTGCTCAACTCAACCACTCTTACGGGATGATTTTAATTGGGTTAAAATGGAGATAATTATGCAAGCTGTCTTGAAAGGCAAGATTAACAAAAATCATACAGAATATCTACTCAGAGGCAGAGGAGATAAAGATGATAAAATGGATTTGGGCGATGCAAGTTGTACATTGAAGGCTTAATGTTTTAACTTTTTTTGTACCTGTTGGTAGCTGAGAAATATTTTAATATTGTAAGACACTCGCTACATATCCTAAAATGTAGCTACCTTCAATTAAAAATTTGTTACAATACTTAAATTTCTGACAAAATCTATTTACTCTGTTTAGATATTTATTTTAAAAAAAGCTGAAAAAATATTAGGATCAATATTGTATTCTTGGAGATGTTGTTCATACAACATCTGACACAAATGTTGGATTAAGTTTCTTTCAAATCAAATTTGACTTCTGGTTAACTTTATGGACACATCCAACAAAATTGTTGTTTACTTAACAATTCAGAAATGGTTTGCCATTACCTTTTCAATTTTTTAAAACCTCCCAATGTAACCTTCAGTAGGTCTCCAATTCACAGGGTGTCTTTCAGAAAGGTAATCACTAGCTGAGTACTGGTGAACTAATAATTATTTAGCACCGTAAAAGCTTTTGGCAATATGTATTTATTATAAGACTATGTGAGCCCCTGTGGTGCAATGTGGAAGATGTTGGACTTGAGCAGAAAGATTGAGGTTCTACTCCCCCCCCCCCCAATCATGGAGGCCCCAATTGACTTTGAGCCAGGGATCAATACATTTTATAGGTGAACATTACTTTACAATTCAGTCTGCAATTACTCAATACTAATTTTTAATCTAGCCTCAACCTGTTTTGGGACTTCTGGCACACGTATACTGTTTCACATGCATACATGTTGGGAGGAAGAGAAATCTCCAAGGTTAGTTGAAATTATGGAAGGTACAGGACAATTGCACAGGATTTTTAAAAATTTAATTTAAAATCCAGTTGCCTTTTAAGGTAAATTGGGATAAATACCGATTTGCATGAGGAGAATTCCAACTCTAAAAATGCCTTACCAATTCAGCCCTGCCCCATGTCGTGATGACTGAGCACCATAGAATGTGTTCAAATGCCAATGCACCTCTTAAAAAATTAAAAGGATACCCTTTCCATAGAGAAAAGTGTGGGAGACCAATACTGAGGCAGACTTACATAAAGGAGATTGCAAATGAAATCCAGAAGTAACCATTGGGAAGTTTGCAGAATAGTCCTCAAAAATGGGCACCAGATTGTTTGATACTTCTGGTGGTTTTCCCACAAACCGTGTGAGTGGGTGGGCAGTTTCATGCTGCCTAGATCCTGCATGTGCACAGATGGGGCTTCACTCCTTTGTGCAGCAGGATTCCTGGTGGGCTGTGGATAAGGGGTTGGGGACTCCTGTCATATCCAATAGTCAACAAATGTATTCAGGAAACTCAGAAGCAAATATGATCTATTTTTCCTATTAGTTCTCTCTGATAGCTGTATTTAAAGGCCTTTTGAGACCAGGCAGTTAAAATATCAAGATTAATAGCAGCTGATAGTCTAGTTGTCCCTTAACTTTTTCCAATTCTCCACTCTCAGGAGCAAATTCCAGATACACTTTTAGGAAGCGAGACTTGGCAAACACAGCAGAAAATGTCCAGAGTAAATACACATAGGATTGCACTAAAACCTCTATTTGAGAAGTAACATCTAAACAATTTTTGGGGCCTTCTCTTCACTCCTGATGGCTTCCTGGACTAGTCCCTGGAGTATTTTTGGCAAAATTTCAGAAGTGGTTTGTAATTGCCTGTTTCCTAGGACTAACCCAAGGCTATCCTGCTTTAGGCTTAATGTGGAACAAGAGCTACCAACTCTAGGTTTCTAGCCTGGTGCATTTCCCATATCAAATGGCTCATTCTCAACCCCCATCATACCAACTGCCATACATAAAAAGGAGGGAAAAAAAGGTCTGCACATCTTGGTAAACTTCCTTTGAAAATTCTTTCCTTCCCAGGACCTTCATTTGAAATAGGTTCAGGTGCATATTCTTTGCTTATCACAGACCAAGATATTAGAGCATGACACCTGCCCCAAGACATTTTCACATTGCTACTTTGTTTAGACTTAAGCCTTTTTATTTCTCACTGCTTTGGTAAGAAATAACTTTCCTCTCTCTTTTGAAGCTACCCTCTTACTGTCTACATTTTAAAGAAATAACAACATGCTTTGTAAAACTGATTTTATTTGTTGCAATTTATTTTTAATTGCTGTTTTAAGGGTATATTAAAATCTTATATAATTTGCATTTATTTTAAGATCTGATGATTAGATCAGACTAAGAAACCAATGCCATACAGATAATTATCTTTATTTTAACCCTTATAATAGGTATCATAATCTTTCAAGTCCAAATGTGCTTCCCTCATCCCTTTTATCTTCCCGTGAATTAGTGTTTCATTTGAGACGTTTGTTCAAATACATTTATAATTTTATTTATTTATTTATTGGAATTGTATTATGCCACATTTGTCTCATTTTTGCCTCAGCAGTGGCTCTTCCTCCAGTCCTTCACCTTTGTCTACTTTCTGTAAAAAAATAAGACATTAGGTAAATGATAAGGAAGGAAATTAATGCATGGCAGACCATATTTTCCATGCAGAGTAATATAGTTGTGCTGGATTAGTCCCGGCTGTACACATTGAACTCCAGAGAAGGAACAGGCCACAACTGACAAGAGTTGTCACTGCAAAAGTATACCGCTAGACATTTCAAGACATACAGAGTGCATAGCAAAAGTAATCTGTTCAAATGATTTGAATTTTAGTGAAATTTTTGGCTGATGTTTGCAAATACCACTTACACCTTGTATACTGAGTTTATGATTCATGACCCAAGAATTCAGAGCATTCTAGATCCAATGGGAAATTTCCTAACAGACACCTGTCTTTTCCAGTAGTTGGTAAACTGAATAACACACTATAAAGCCTATGAGATAAATAAGCCTGATGTTTCCTAGCAAATAGTATTTGGAGGCAGGTTTGTATCTTACTTATTGTATAATTGAAGCGGAGATACACTCTGGCAAGAAAAACACAATAGTATAGAAACATTTTATACCATTTTTCAAAATCCTAAACCAGCTGCTGCCCCTCATGTCAAGCCAAGACTTTCTGCTGTTTGACATGAAGATTTAAGACTTTGCAATGGGACTGATGACTCCGTGTATCTTTTGTTGCTGCGAGTTAAGCCCTCCTCCAGTGCAATGCTTCTGGACACCCACAGGAGTATTGCCGTCTCCTTCTAGGTCCCTGCCCCACCTTTTTACATTGAAAAAGTTTCAAACCAAACAAATGCAACGGTGGCCAAGTGCAAGCAAAGTTTCCAGCATCATCTTGATTTGCAAGAACAGGTCTGGGCCACCAGTGGGCCCAATACCCCTTCTTTTAAAAGGTGGTTTTTGGAATGGTGTCTTTGCAAGGCGCAAGGAGGATCAAGCAGGATGCTGATAAAGCATTATTTTGAATCTGCTTACGGGCTTCTGGCAGCCATTTTATGAAGAGGCAGCCCCCCCCCCAACCTCCAGCCATTTTGCAAGGACGCCCCCACTACTACATTAACAACAATCCCCAGCACTGCAGACATCCGCGTGCTTCCTCCCGGCCGCAGGGCATCAGCCCGAGTCGCTGCGCGTCAAAACACGGGAAGGCGTCCCGCGCGGGGACGATATCCGCAGACCGAAGCGAGAAAAGTGACTGGCGAATAAGCCTCGTTCGACTCTACGACTTCGGAATCGGATCTTCAGCGCTGTTCCCGCCTTGCCCTTCGCAGCCGCCCGCAGTCCCGCCCCGGGAGGAGGCGGACAAGGAGACCAAGGTCAGGCGAGCCTTCCGCGGGCTCCCCTCTGCCTTGCTGGCTTCCAGGGCGCCGGGAGGAGCGGTGCCGGCCGCCATGAGCGAGCCTCGCGGCTCTTGCCCTGGATCGTACGGGACGGTGAGGCCGGAAAGCAGCGAGGTAAGCGGGCGGAGAGACGCCGACGGGCCTAACAGAAGGCGGCGGAGGTCTTTTGGAGCAGGGCTCTCCAAGCTTGGCAATTTTAAGACTTGTGGACTTCAACTCCCAGAATTCCTCAGCCAGCTTTGCTCTGCCAAAAGAGCTCGCCTCTTTTGTCAGAGCAAAGCTGGCTGAGGAATTCTGGGAGTTGAAGTCCACAAGTCTTAAAGTTGCCAAGCTTGGAGAGCCCTGTTTTGGAGGGCGCCTCTTTTGCCAGAGCAAAGCTGCCTGAGGAATTCTGGGAGTCGAAGTCCACTGTTGAAAACCCCTGTTGCCAGGAGTTGTGACCCGCGGTTCTGGGGTTTCTGCTCCCTCTTAGAGATCCCCTGTGCATGGTCCAATAGGCTTTCTTGGGCTGGGTTTTAGAAAAGTTGTCATTTTATAGCTTTTAAAGCACTTAGTGGTTGTTGATCTTGTTTTGATGGTTATCATAATTGCACAGGTGCTTGGTCAAGTTCGGTACAGTAGTCCTCGACTTACAACAGTTCATTTAGTGACCATTCAAAGTTACAATGGCATTGAAAGAACTTATGACAGTTTTTCAGAGTTTCAGCGTTTGCAATATCTCCTGGAACATGTGATCAGATGCTTGGTAACTGGTTCATACTTATGACCATTGCAGCGTCCCGGAGTCACATGATCCACCTTTTGCAACCTTCTGACAAGGAAAGTCAATGGGGAAAGCAGATTCACTTAACAACCAGGTTACTATTTTATTAACTGCAGGGACTCACTGAACAACTGTGGCAAGAAATGTCATAAAATGGGGCAAAACTCATTTAACAAATGTCTCACTTAACAACAGAACATATGGGCTCATTTGTGGTCATAAGTCGAGGACTACCTGTATACTTTCACAGTTATAAAGGTGGTATAAAAATTATGAAAATGTTAAACAATTCAAGGCAGTTGAATTATTCCCAAATTGGGTTTTTTAAATGTCTTTTAGTATTCTGTCTGATACCAGTGTTTTCAGAGATTGATTATCCCTTTGTCCCATATTTTACTTACAATGGGCAGCAGAGATATTTATTTAGATGCTGCCTGACTCACTTCATGAAAGCAAAACAACACAATAAAAAATAGAATATCTTACAATAAGAAAGGTGGCAAATCCATCCTGCAACAAACATCATATACCCCAAAAGGGCTCCAACCAGCCTTCAAAGCTAGGCATCTGGATCTTAGATTCTGATTCTGGTTGCAATCTGTAAGCCTGCAAGTAAAGCACAATTCAGTTAAGTACTGTGTACAGTGTAAGCTGTCTAAAGTCAATATGCAGTAGTAACAACTTTCCATGTCTTCAGGGCATCATCCTGCCTTCACTGAAGTAACAAAAATCTCCATGTTATGTTATTTTTGGCCCAAGAATTATTGGGAGAATGTAGAAACCTTAGTAAGGAAATGATCTCTAGGAGTTTCCCTCGATGAGGCTTATTTAGGCTTTAAATTGTTAACATGGGTCTAAAGTTGATGATTGAGAAGAGCTAGCTGCTGCTGTGTTTCTATAGTACTGGCTTCCAGAGATGGGACAGTAGACATCGAAAATGCCTGGGTTTGGTTTCCCCAAGTGCTTTAAGATCTGGGAGTTGTGATTGAAAAGCTTGGCTTATCATTGCAGCATAAAGCGAGTCCCCTCAAATGAGCTACAAGAAAGCTCGTGCTAAAAGTGTACATCAGAGTTGTGGTGTTGTTATTGCTATCCTTCTCTGCATTGCACACATTTTGGTGAACTGAAAGTTGCGTTCTTGTACTCGCTGTGTAAATTGTCCCCATCAAGACAGTCTTTCAGTGAATCAGGGATTGATTCTGGATTGAGAAAGACAAGATTAATATAATTGATGTTTAGATTAATAGGATCCGCCTTGTTTTTCTTAGATGAAAGCTAAGGAAAATCAGGGGTATTGCTGAAAACAGCACCTGCATGATTTCTTGCTTTTTTCTTTAGGAGTTGCCCAGAGATGGACTTGAAAATGACTTAAAATCAAATGAGGAACCTCTCTTAAGGAAGAATCCCCATCGATTTGTCATCTTTCCAATCCAATACCCCGATATATGGAAAATGTACAAGCAGGCTCAAGCTTCTTTCTGGACGGTAGAAGAGGTGAGTTGTGCAGAAGACAGGTTGCAGAGGTGACTGGCACTAACCCAAGGGCGGGCTGCAATGTCAGCCTAGGGACTATACAGGTAGTCCTCAACTTACAATCACAATTGAGCCTAAAATGTATGTTGCTAAATGAGAAATTTAGTGAGTTTTGCCTAGGGGTGAAATCAACTTACTTTCGCTACCGGTTCGCAAATATGTGCGTGCCATCTCCATGCATGCGCAGGACCTTTCCGAGCATGCATAGAGCGTCAAAAATGGGACGTGATGATGTCCGGGTGGGTGGGCGGAGCCTCCCATCACCACTGCTACCAGTTCGCCCGAACCGGATAGAACTGGCTAAATTGCACCACTGGTTTTGCCCCATTTTATGACTTTTCTTGCCACGTATGATAAATGAATCACTGCAGTTGTTAAATTAGTAACATTGTTAAGTGAAGCTGGCTTTCCCATTGACATTTGCTTGTCAGAAGATAAGAACAGGTGATCACATGACCTTGGGACATTGCAACCTTCATAAATATGAACCAGTTATCAAGCATCTGAATTTAAATCCCATGACTAAGGGATTTACTTCAGTTGTCATAACTGTGAAAAATGGTCATAAGTCACTTTTTTCACTGATATTGTAACTTTGAACAGCCACTAAACAAGCCGTTGTGTTGTAAGTCGAGGGCTGTCTGTATTTTCTTTTTCTTTCCTACCTTGGGACCAGTATGACAAAAATAACACCATGACTTCTGCAGGACTTAAACATACCTTCTGCCTCTTAAACTTTAGCCTTCAAAGTAAAGGCTTGAAGTGCTCAACCCTTACTTTTCTGGGCATTGCAGATGGGATTTGGGAAGCTACATATGGATTATTCACCCCTAGCCTAACGCTAGCAACAGTGTCAGCAACACAAGAATGTGCGAATACCAGAGTGAAATAGTTTTTTTGTGGAAAGAATATGATCAGCTTCTAGTAGCGATCACAGATTTCTACCCAGAGCATAGGTAATCCTTTTATTTCCATCTTGGCAGAAAAGTGACTTTGCATCTTGGGCCATATGGTGAAACTCAAACCCTGCAGTAGATCCTTCAAGATCTAACAACTGAAAAGTCCTTGATATATTTAGACCATAAGGCAGCCAAGAGAGAGAAGCAAAGGTGCAGAAGAAATTCTGTTCACTAATCTGGTATTCTAATTTACATACTTTCCTTACATTTAGCTTAAGTTGCTTTTAAGAAAGAGTTAGTTCCTCTTATAAAAAGGCAGTCACCATTGCAAACAAAACAACAAACGCACTGCCTACTTGCATGAGCAATGCAAGTAGGCAATGAGGGGCTTATTTGTTTTTGTTTTCTGGCATGGTTCAGGGATAGAAGGATTTCTTTAATAAATCACACAATGAGCTGTATGTGTTTTCACTGTCTTTCCCTCTCCATTAGTGGCAAGTTATGTGTAAACTTAGGCAGATAATTTCTAGTAAACTAGTGTCTACTCGCTAGGTAACCACCAGATGATTACAATACAACTCCCAATTATTCACAGATCCATCCTGCCAGAGGATGGTGAGGGTAATAATAATCCTTTACATTTAATAATAACACATTTCATTACAAGACACCACCAGGGAGAATATGGTTAGAAGGCTGTTAGGAGAATCTGCAAAGGCAATTAAAAGAAAGTCAAGATTGAGAAGAGCTGTATGATAGAAGCCCCACCCTTTTTAATGCATATTACAAAATATGGAAAAAGAATGAACTTTGGTGAGGTTGCAGCTACCAACTTTATCAAAAATGCCTCCCCCCCCCCCATGAATGCCTCCTCTTTGAAGTTATAGGGTATATTCTCTTAGACATTTATTTTGCTTTTCAGAGTTTTCAGTAAACAATGAGGATTTCAAGTCTGTAAATCTATATTTCTTTTTGTATAGGTTGACTTGTCAAAGGATCTTACTCATTGGAACAACCTAAAACCAGAAGAGAAATATTTTATTTCGCATATCCTAGCTTTTTTTGCTGCCAGTGATGGAATTGTCAATGAAAACTTGGTAAGATCCTTCCTGTGATGTAGCCTGTAATACTTTGATGCTGTGTTTCTTTTTCATTGCATGCAATCAAACATCTATTTGTAATTGTACTTTGCATGTATTTGTTGTCCATCATAAGGAGCATTGTGGATATTTCCCTATTAAGTACTTACTTTTAATGAAGTTTGTACTAATCATGTTGACTTTCAACTGCTTTTTCTTGGGAATCCTATATGGGTATATCATATTCGCTATACCCAGAGATGCTCTTTTGGAAGAAAATAGTCATTTACATAAGACATTGTGGTCTAGTGCAGTGTGTGAACCTGGTCTTACATGAACATTTAGATATCTGACTTCTTTCATTGACAGGTAGAACGTTTTAGCCAAGAAGTGCAGATCCCAGAAGCTCGCTGTTTCTATGGCTTCCAGATATCAATAGAAAACGTTCATTCTGAGATGTACAGTTTGTTAATAGACACTTACATCAAAGATCCCGAGAAAAGGTAATTAGTGTAAGTATGACCACTATGTAGAGGACTTATAGATTTCTTTATTTGTAATTTTCATATATAGTCTAGTCTAGGTGTAATGGGAGACCGTGCGTGTGTTCTGACCAAGGCTTCCCAAGAGCATGAAACGAAGTCCTGGTCGCAACAGAAAACCCTTTTATTGATTACCTGTGAATTCTGCTCATTCACAAATGGCTAAGTCTTTCAGGGGAGGATTTATAGTCACAGACCTTATCTGGCTTGGAGAGCTGCCAGGCTGATATCTGCAGAACTTGGCAAGGAGTCTTTGAGAGTCACAACCAGTTAGCGAATGAAGTGTCTCCTGTAAACTCCACTCCCATTTTGCTCCTCTTTTATTTCCTCTGGGAGGGGCCATTCATCCTCTGGCCTTACTCCCAAGTTGACCCCTGTTCTTTAGCTGTTCCCTTTGTCTGGCAACATTGCACATGCGCACACTGGGAACAGGCTCCAGCTGTTCGTCTGGCTTACTGATGTCTGACTCTGAAGGCAGCTGATAACTGGCATACAGCTCTGGCCCCCTCTCTGCCTCGACACAGAGCCCTTGTCAGAGCCTTCCTCAGACTCCAAGACTGGCCCATGTTCCTCTTCAACCTTCTCACTGTCCGAATCTGCTGCCAGCCCTGCTGGCGGGCCACAACACAGTCGTTTAACATTGCAAGGACATATCCGTGGATGTTTGTATTTTTTTTATGCTTATAATGGGGGAGAAGAAGAGTTTTTGCTTGATCTTAGGAAAATCAGTATTTGTTGTAACTTTTTTGTTTTATTTCTGTCCTACCTTTAAAAGAGCCGAGATGGCTCAGTGGTTAGAATGCAGTACTACATGCTACTTCTGCTGGCTGCCAGCTGCCTGCAGTTTGGCAGTTCGAGTCTCACTGGCTCAAGGTTGACTCAGCCTTCCATCCTTCCGAGGTGGGTAAAATGAGGACACAGATTGTTGGGGGCGATATGCTGACTCTGTAAACCGCTTAGAGAGGGCTGAAAGCCCTATGAAGCGGTATATAAGTCTAACTGCTATTGCTATTGCTATAATGTGGCCATCTGGATTGGTTTAATAAATCCTCTAGGTTAAAATGTGGTGGAGTAGTTGTGATTTAGTGTGTTTATGCAAACAACCACCCTTACCCAAGATTTATACCCTTGTGATTTGCTGCTGTGATTGCCCAAAGCATTGCATGAAGGTCAGGTCACTTACTTGCTGAATGAAGCACAATTGGCTGAGCTCGCACAATATTCTAAACCAGGAGTGTCAAACTCAAGGCCCGTGGGCTGAATCCGGTTCGTGGGGCGCTTAGATCTGGCCCATGAAGCTATCCTCAAAACAGTGAAGGACTGGCCTGTGGTGCCTCTGCTAGTGAAAATGGAGCTTGGGCACAGCCCTCCCGGGCTCCGTTTTCAGCCATGACAGCCTCCTACAGCCCTCTGTCAGTGAAAATGGAGTCCGGGGAGGCCACGCACGGCCTCACTGACCTGTTTTTTCGGCAGAGGGCTGTAGGAGGCCATCACAGCCATAAACGAAGCCTTGACAAGTGATGTTGAGCTGGCCACACCCTCCCAGGCTGCTACCCACCCAGGTCAAACAAAGCCCTGATGTGGCCCTCAATGAAATCGAGCTTGACACCGCTGGTTCACAGCATGGTTCACAAACCACAATTAAATTGATTAATATTTAAAGTAAGTAATTATTACTATATATAGCTGCTACTAAGGTGGGGGAGATTTCTCTCTCCCTCCCACCCATGTCCTACCAAAGCTTTAGGAGCAGCTCTGAAACTCTCCAAAAGCTGCCACAAATTGAAATTTCTAATGGTTTCAGGGGATAGTCCCTGCGGAAAAACTTCAAAAATGGCCAAAAATCTTTGGGGCTTTGTGAATTGGGAACCCAGATCTTACTGATCCTTGTTCAATATGAACCACTATATCGCTGTGACTCACACTTCCAGAATTATTATGGTGTAAGAGCTTCTATTGCTACACATGTGAATCAAACTGGGAAAATACTCCTGGAAAATACTCTGAAATAATTTCATTTTTTTTTTTTTTTTACTATTGCAGGAGTTTTTGACAGAGGCCTTACCTGTGGGATTGATTGGAATGAATTGTATTTTGATGAAACAGTATATTGAATTTGTGGCTGATAGGCTACTCCTGGAACTGGGCTTCCCTAAGGTAAAGTAATTTACCTTAAAGTATTTGCAGGGAACTTTGGCCCTCTGAGGAGAACTTTTCCTAAATCTATTTCAAAGTAGTGTCTGAACTCTTGTTTTGCAAGGAGAATGAGGTTTGTTCTGTATTTGTGTATGAGTGGCATACCGTATTTTTGGAGTATAAGACGCACCTTTCTCCCCCAAAAGAGGGTGAAAATTTGGGTACGTCTTATACATGGAATGTAGCCCCACCCATCAACCGGCACCCACCCTTTGGCCTCTGCCTCCCAGCAATTTACCTCCTTGCAGCAAACGGAGAAAATGAGGCTTGCAAAGGCAATAGGCTATGGCCAGGATGGGGAACTTATGGCACGCGTGCCACAGGTGGCACGTGGAGCCATTTCTCAGGGCACACGAGGAGTTGCCCTGTCAGCTGGCCAGCACGCATGCACGAACTAGCCAGCTGAGTTCAGCCTTTTTTAAAGCCATTTTTTGCCCTCCCCAAGCTCCAGAGGCTTTATAAGAGCTGGGGAGGGTGAAAAGAGCCCCCCCCTGTCCTCCAGAGGCCCTCCGGAGGCTTCAGGAGCTCCCCTGAAGCCTCTGGAGCGCAAAAAAACGTTAGTTCGGGAACGGACTTCCGGTTTGCTCCTAGGGTTGGTTTAAGACCTCCGGAGGCTTCAGGGACCTTCTGGAGGTCTGAAGGGCAAGTGAAAGGTATCTTTTATTGTAAAGACTGGCCTAAGTAATTAAAAAAAGTTTTTATTAAGGTTGGGAAATAGGGCAAAGCACAGCTTTTGTAGTTCAGCCCTAAGGCAGGACATAAAGTGAGATTTGGACATAAGAGTGAGATGGGTCGGGGTCAGGTTAGATGATCTTTAGTCATTTTTATCTTTGCACTTTGTAAGGTACAAAAAGCATTTTTGAGATAGGAAGCTTGAACTCAGGAAACTTGAATGTCAAACCGGAAAAGCTAACACCTGCTGTAAGTAGGTCAAGTCAGTTGGAGGTCTCGCTTGCAAGGCAGACTAGGGCTTAACCACGTATGTCAGAATGAAACTAGTGTTTCCTGCATGCTTCTCTGCCTAGCAATAAGGAGCCTACCCAATAGAAATGATTTAGCACATTTCTGTGTTAGCTGTTTTGAGGAAGTTATAAGAACACGCTTCTCCCTAAGAACCTTGCTCAGACGTCAGATGGGGGTTTACCTGGTCTGAGCCTTTTGGCCAAAATAAAGCTTTTCTTGATCTCGCGATCCGAATCTCCTGATTTTCTGCAAAAGCCCAGGGTCTCTCCATTTACGGCCATAAGAGGCATCTGGTTTATCCTTTGTTCCGTAATGAAGGAACTTGTTGCATCTCCTTATCAGCAGATTTGAATCTATTCTGTTCAGTTTTTGGAGAAATATTCTGCTGATGGGCAGATAAACAAGCTGTAGCCCCCACTGCTTAGAGATAAACGTGCACAACAGCATACACATATTTGTGTATTTGAAGAGATTGCGAATTTTCGTGTGTTGTTTAAATATGCAAAGTGTTAGGGAAATGTGATAGAACAGGTGATGTTTGGAAAAAGATATGAACGTAGAGAGCAAAGTGGAACGATCTGTCAATCTTTACAGAAGTGAAGGCTTTTAGAAAACTTGAACTATCTTGGCCTTCTCCTGGTCATCCTTATCAGTCAAAAAGGAAGAAACCAAATGTGGCTAAATGGAAATGCTCCCTAGCAATCACCAAAGATGGATTTGTCCTTGCAGTGCCTCATTCAGTTCCTATGTTTTAATAATACCTTTTGGTTTTCTCAGGTCTTTCAAGCAGAAAACCCTTTTGACTTCATGGAGAACATTTCCCTGGAAGGAAAAACCAATTTCTTTGAGAGGAGGGTTTCAGAATATCAACATTTTGCAGTTATGTCCCAAGCAAATAATAAAGTATTTACTTTAGATGCTGATTTTTGATGCTGCCTACTTGGAAGATTGACAAAGCCAAACTATGCATTCATCCTCAGTGATGACAAGAAACCTCTTACAATCCAAGTAGGGTATTCTTGGAATATTTTATTAACTATTAATAGTTGGTAGAAAAGTTTCTACAAATAGGTTACAAGTTGTGTGAATATATACACTCTTAATAACAATTCATTTGTAATATCATGCAACTTTTCTAAAACTATATTGTGACAGTCAGGTTGAAGTTTAGCTGCTGATCTTTTTGATCAAATCCAATCCTATCATTAGAGTGGAAAGCTTTTATGATAATGAGAATGATTACACTATAAAACGTTTCTTCTTACCTCTGTTCTTGAGCTGAGATGAAAGACATGCTCTTTTGTCTTAAAGGGATGTTCTAGCATAAGTCTTGGATAGGAGATTATCAGAGAAACTTAAGACTGCAAACTAGATTCGAAAAACATCCTAGGCAATGGAAAACCACCTCTGCATTGTTTCAAGGACCACAATATGGACATAGCCACGTAATCGGCAGGTATCAAAATGGACTTGGTGGAGATTTTGCTTTTATGTAAGAGAAAACTGTACTTGGGAAAATGAAGAGGATGACACAAGCACTTTATAATCTTTTATCATTCATTTTGGTTAGCCAAATCAGCACAATGTCTGAAGTTCATGTGCTTGGGAAGGATTTTTCATTTGGCCCCAAAACTTCATTTTGGCTGTAAACTTGATTGGAGGAACCCACATAACATAACACTGATCACCTTACATAAAGCTTTGGCTTATTCAGCATGATGAACCAAGATAGCTTGTCCTTGTTATACAAACATAGCTATTTTCTCAACAAATCAGTGCTTAAAGTAATGTGTTTATGTCACATACTGATCCAAAAACTATTCAGGGCATTTTAAGTTAGTGTATTGCCTGAATCCAGACTTTATTATTAGTTTTTGTCATGCAAACTTAGAAAATTGGGGTAATTTAATAATTTATGCATAATGATATCATATGAACTTAGCTTTGATGTATGTAGTAGGATAAAATTTAAACAACTTTATTTAGAATGTGAATGGTGAAGAACAGATAACTTGGCTACCAAAGTATATTTTAAAAAGAGAAAAACAATATAGAGGTAATTGACAAAACTGAAGCTGCTTTTGTGAAACATCAGAGCTAATGTTTATGTGGGAAAAGCAGTTTTGTCAAGCTTTCTCCATGAGCATCCAGTAAATAAGGCTGAGTAAGGCAGAGATAATTCAACAATTTTCCGGATATCATTGTTTTTTCTTCTGGAAGTTTGCACTAGTAACTTCCAGATATCTTGGATTTCAACCCCCATAATCTTTGGGTTATGTTCATAACTGGTCCAGTCCAAATAGAAGCACAGTTTAAGGATGAAATATATCATAGGGATGAAATAAATCACCCCCTAATATTGTCAGGAATTGACAAGGGTTTGACACATTATGCTAAGCCATTGTAAGGTTTGTGATGTGTAATCAGATTGTGGGTTACAGATTACAAGCCTAGTGTCTTCTTTGAGCCCACCATTTATTTATTTAATTAGTTTGTATGCCGCCCACTCTCAGAAGACTCAGGGCGGCTTACAAATAAAAAGGGAAGGGGGGATATAAAAATAAAAAAACAACAATTAAAAATTCAACAACATTCATAGCTTAGAATGGGGCTGGATAATTCAACAGCC